GTCGACAACTGGGAAACTCTGTCCCATGTGTGGGGGTTGTTGTCCTGCTGTTGCTGGAGCACTATCGTCAGCTGCCTAGTGCCAATGCAGACCTAAGTAATAAGGATGTGGCTGATGACTTTGCAAAGAACAGCGACAAAGATGGCGACGTCCAAGAAGACTTGGAAAATACGCAGCAACCCACCACCAGGCCCGCAAGCAACAACAACAAGACCACGGAGGTAACTCCATCTGCAAAAGAAGCTGTCTAAAAGCTTGTCAGCCGCACAGCGCGACAAAATGTACCTCAACATATTGCGTCAAGAAGCTGCCACAAAGGAGACACTAGTGGAAACATGCACGTATGGTGGCAATCTACATTCATTTTATTATTATTTCACCGTCCAATGGCAGAAGCCAATGCAAAGGAGGGGGCGTTAGCCAGCCATGGCGAGAGAAGAAAAAAAAAGAAGAAAGAATGAAGGAAAGAAGATGATAATGGGAAGAAAATAATGCATCAGCGGGTTCATCATCTCTCTCTTTTCACCGAATCTCGACTTTAGACTAAGAGTTATTGACCTTCGTCCTCTGTGACTGTTTGCGTGTGTGATCCGGTGATCTTTACAATATGTTCTTCTCCAGGCATCAAGCCAGTCACTGAGCTCATTCGCAGCATCTGTTGCAAGGTCCATAGACACCATAGGCACAGCTCTAGGACAAGGGCTAGCGTTGCTGGCAAATACCATTGCAAGCAGACAGCAGGCGTCATCTGAGCATGTGCTCCAAAGTGCGACGGGCTCATCGATCACAGTGCATGGAGTTGCTCAGGTTCTTGTGGCATTTGAAAACTCTACTGTTGTGAAGACTAAATCTTTGGTAGTGTAAACACATTGACTGGCCATGGTATGTCCATATCCTTTGAGTCCAATCACACATTTACCGTTTATCGAAAATCCTTTCCCTTGCGTTCTAAGCGTTCAGTGATTCCCAAACACACCATTTCCTCCTCATCTCCTCTATTTCCAAAATCATGACAAAAGTGTTCCAACAGAGGATAGGATCATAGCAGTCTGCTCAATAAATTTAAATGGTCTGGGAATAGCGCTGCGTGCTGTGATCTTAACAGTATCAATACCAGCAAAACCCAAGCCCACCGACCTTTCCCACTATGTAAGCACTCCATCAAGGCAAGCACCCAATTCCAGGCCGCAACCCATCAAACCTGTAGTGAATGACGAGGAGAATGACTGCTTCTAGGTCCTGCTGACAGTATCGAGCACACCTCGTTCAGTGGAGTACTTCGCAAAACTGTGGCACACAGCTATTCTCTCCCCCCCCCCCCCCCCCCCTCTCCCTCTCTCTCCATGTGTCTCTGTCGGTCGGTCTCTCTCTCCGAACAGTTTTGGGCGAACCAGATGATATCACCCTTGGCAGTTTTTTTTATGTGACATGGTTACGAGTTTTATATTGTTCTTAACATGGAGTCATGCTGATCTGTTGGTTGGGTTTTTCTTGTGACATTCATCAGGTGAAATACATCACAATCGAGAATCAAGAAAGAAGAACGGCTTTTGGAAACACTAAACCAACCTCATTTACATGTGTGTACAGAGTCATGACTCATGAGTGTGTACTGGATCCCGTTCATAGCTTTTACTTGTGTGTGGTCATCCTGTAGCCTTCGCTGAATGAAGTTGTTACCGGTAACTGCTATTTTCCCTATTCAATATCACCCCCCCCCCCCCCCCTTGACTCTTTCTTTAAACTAATTTCCTGTCTTAAATGATTGAAATACCGTACGCCACAGCCAATTACGTACACCAAGGGCTCAATTCCTACTTCACTGGCATTATTATAACTTCCAGGAGCCCGAGTCACATATATTGGATATGCTTCTGTTGTCTACGTTGACTGTAGCACACTTATGTTCTGGGATGTGCTATGTACAGATGTTACTCTCCACAGGAGGTCTACCTGCAGGAGCTAGAGCATGATACTGTAAAACATGTGTATTAAAATTTCGGTGCCAGAAACCTGCCAGGTTTCAGGTGTAATGTAGAATTAGGTGACCAGGGTTCCCTTCACACAGTGCATACTCTAGCGCCTTTTAGGTGTAATTTGAATTTAGGTGCCTGGTTTCTCTACCGAAATCCCCGAAATTAAAGTTGCACCGAAAATTACATGTTTTACAGTATCGGGCTATGCAAGGCTATCTAACAAAATAGGCCCTGTGAAGAAGTCACCCAAAATTTCCGAAAAATCAGAGAACTGGAAGACGATGCCCAAAATACCCCACCAATAACGGATTATTTCTTGCGCCATACATCTATATCGAGGTGCTGAGGAAGAAGAAAAAACCCAGACCAATCTTCAGGCCAATTATTCGGTATTGAGCTACATACCGGTACCTTGACTCTTTACGGACGGCACATACTTTATCGATCACGGATGATCGATACTTTTCTACATTGAGTTCAGTCGGTAAAGGGTTAAACAGGGCGCTATCAGAGAACAATAGCAAGCACTCACCTGGCGCCGGCAACTCTTTAAGTTTACACCTGTCTTTTCTGCCACGTCATCCAAGTTACTACGTAAACGCCCGGTCAACTTCCGGCCTATAAGCTCTCTCGGCACAGAGTAGTGCTCGTCGAAAGAAAAGTATCTGAAGAACGAATCGCCAAAAAAAACACATACCAAAACACATCCACTTCAGCTCGTCACCAACACAATGTGATTTACCTACCGGTATGAAAAGGTCGACGCAATCGGAACGGACTATCAATAGTGAACTCAAGATAAAGTTGAGTTGCCCAGTAGTCAACATCCCAAATATTTGACCGCATACGAATACTCCCTATACAATCGTTGGAATGACCTCCTGGTTGTCTTCTAAGAACAAGAAGCTGAGTTTTCAGAGCAGCATTGATTCCACTGACTACAACTGTTTGGCATGGTATTTTTATTCTGTTTGTTTGTTTAGATTTTTTTACTTCGCCATAGGCACGCACACAGGCAACGTCTGCCTTCTCACTGGGCGTATTGCCACGGTTCTTGCAAAATGATGAAGCAACTAGAGCCAGGTGTTCTAAAGTGGCAGTTTACACACGATGCAACACCAGCTCTGTCGTGGACATGGAAATCCGGTCGGAGGTCAAGCGGCCTCAGGGCGCTGGCCATGCAGCTGTGAGTATGTATACGGTACACACATGCAAGGATTTCCATGTCCACGGCAGTAGCAGCACGTTGCAAGCACTCACAGCGTGATCAGCTTCTGCTGGAGGTTGGGCGGAATGGGAATGATCGACTGGACAGCCAGCGAGGGCGGCACGGTCACGAGCCACGTCTCCAGCATGTTGTATGCATGGAATTGGTCAGTGATCTCTCCCATCAGTACATCCATTGCCGACAGTTGGAAATGATGCGAGCACTGTACAAGACGTTGGAGAGTTCTGTCCGGCTTGCTTTCCTGCGACCGCGCAACTTCCTTTACTGCAGACAAGAAAGAAAGGCAAATACAGGGCAACCTGTCTAAGACAACTTCTCAACGGACCTTCAAAACATATTCTCAGTTACCAAGGTGGTCTCCTTATCCAGGGTCATTTGACTGGAAATAGCATCTCTTGGTCTTGGTTTCAGTGGTCTCCTAGGGCAGGTGGTCGCCTTATCCGAGTGGTCGCCTCGACAGGTTTTACTGTACCGGTGGGTTGGAGATGTTCTGTATGGTAGAAAGTAGTTGTGATGATTGGAGTGTAACTGGGAAAAAGCAGGTCTGCTCTAACCAATCTGCTGTGTACTATTAACGCCGCAACATATTGATTACGTCAATATGGGTGGATTCTAAAGGGTCAATTATTAGCACTAGGGAGGTTCTGCTCTACGTTTTGGGAACGCGACGCAAAGAATCACGCGAACTTTCTTCGCGTTCCCGTAACGTAAAGAAATGCTGTTCTGCTCTACGTTTCACCTAGAGAAGTCACGTGGAATGTGTACTGGGAATTTCCCCTTCCATATTTGGCAGTTTTCTGCATGCAGTTGATCGATACCCAGCAAATCCGTACGCATTTTCTCTGCGTGTGCCACAACGTAGAGAACCTCATCTCCGCGTAGAAATCTGGAGCCAAAACACGCGAAGCCGTAGACTCCAACCCAGACACCTGCTCTCTACGCGATTTTCCTACGTTTCACGTATCACGTATAGCAGAACCTCTCTACTGTCATATCAGAAGTGCGATCAAATAGGACCAGCTGCGGCAACATTCCATAAAGACTTTGTTGGATATGAAAGTTAAACAATATATGAAAGTCTATATTTTAGACTTATATACCTGATTATTCTTAGGTCATGTTCGACTGGCTGGATCTGGATCCAGATCAATCGGATCCACTCAATATGTACACGTGATCCAGATCAATCGGATCCACTCAATATGTACACGTGTCATTCGTGAATCGTTCAAATGAGTCCGGGTCCAGATCCAACGGATCCGACCAGCCCTACTCCGGGAGCAGGATTGATCGGATCCCCCGGAATTTTTTTTGCCAAAAAACGTACTTTGTACATTATACGCGTACACATGGCGGGAATAAAAGCGATCATGAGGCCACACTGAAGAAGGTCTGTGGTTCGACTCACCCGACCGACCGTACATTTTTCAGCCCGACCGTAACTTTTTTTCGGCGGGCTGTCGTGTGACTGACGTACGTGGACTGAACACGTAGATCTACGTCCACGTCTACGTGCTGTGCAGCGTGAGTCTGCGGACGCAGGCGGCTCCTTTTGGACTTGACTTGTACATGTAGTTGTACTGCAGTGCAGTGCAGTGAGTGGTACGACTGCTGCCTTGTGCTGGTAGTAGAGTCTACTCGATACGACCACCGGCAGACTGGCGAGACTTATTAAAATTTTTGAAGTGACCGTCCGGTTGAGAGTGATTGCCTCGTTCCAGATTAAGGACGGCCTTCTGTTTTGGGATGAAGGACAGACGAGATTGCACTTTCCTCGTGTATTGGGAACGATATTTCACCTGTACCGGTAAGTTGCTGCTCCATGTGTGCAAGCACAGGAAGCGTCGATGGAAAAAGCCCATGTATTCGTGCACGCCGACACCGAACTAGCAATACATGTACCGGTACATTGTACAATTTGTACTTCGAAGTAGTTCCCGAACTTACTTTCAACTCGCATCGTTCTTCATTTGCTTGATGATTTGGACAGTCAGAGTCACCGCTTGAAGTTATTCTCTTCTCGTTCCAGAGCTACACAATGTTTCAAAGTATTAGCCAGTGATCCCTTTATACAACATGTATGGCATAACACTGCGTAATAATGCCGATGTACTGGGTGTCTAAAGGCAGTACAGTGTATTTACATGTACTAAAAACTATATTTAAAAAAAAAATCCGCCCGCCCGCCCGTAAAAAAAATGTCCATGTTAGTCGAACCACACACCTTCTTCAGTGTGGCCTGATGCAAAAAGCGTTGCTTTCTCTCATGGAAACCCTCAAAAATCACTAAAATTCCAGATTTGATCAAGGGCAGCATTTGATTGGACCTTTGGATCAAAAGGATCCACTCAATCGATCTGGATCCGGATCCAACCAATCGCCCATAACCTTACACTCCTCTTTCTACCATAAAAGCCCCTGTATACGCCCATCCTCCGTGTACACGCCCAGTCAGGGGAAGTCAACATTTTTGTTTCAAAATAGCGCCCCTGCCCATGTATACGCCCAGGTACGCCGGAAACACCAGTACATGAACAGGCACTGATACCCAATACTAGCTATCCCTATTCCAAGTATACGCCCGGTTCCAAAATAACGCCCGTGCCCTTGTATACGCCCAGGAAATCGAGGCTGCTATTCTGTACGCCCGTGGCCTACTAGTATACACGGGCTTTTACTGTATTATATCTTCATGTGAAAAGCAAAAAAAGTCTCCCTCACACATGCATATTCTCCCGTTAACAAAATTTATACTCACGCTCACAAGGACTATTTTCGGAACAAAGCACGAACCTGTAAATCCGGCCAGCCATGACTTGAAGGCAGATAAATCGATGTGAATGGGGTCACCCACACATATATCCACTTGTATCTCAGCCATGCCAGAGAAATGATACCTCTATACGGAAGCAATGAAATAGACCTTCAAGAAGGGAGTTCTTTGAAAACTAGCTGGGCAGCAGCACATCTGCTCCAAAATGCCATAAGACAGTGCTGGAGAGTTATCTTCGAAGGCCTGTCAAGCAAAACGTCAATAGACAATAGATCTCCATGCTTCTCACAAAGAGCTGGTCAAAGAAATAATACAGTCATGGAATAAAAATGTGGTACATTTATATAAATTTTTGTACCGACACGTGCGTGTGCATGTGACGTCGCGTCGACAGGATCTAGGACTCTTCGGTGACGCCATAATTTATTTCACCATAGCGACTACAACACGTAGATCCAGCCTGCATGCACACATCCGCATCGGCCTGACGTAAGAAGATCAGTGCATGCATTCACAGTAGTGCAGTGCATGCGTGTCTGTTGAGTGTTGTTGTGAGGTGTCAAACATAGACGAAGTCAAAATTCTTCATCAGCTCAGATCATACCTCAACAGCTCAGATACAAAGAATTTAGAAATTAGTATTGTTCTGGACCCAGACCTGACCTGGGACGCACTAAGGCGATGCTGTGTCATGAGATAGCTTTCTGGTTTCTGAATAGACCAAGATAGAGAGGAAGTAGGGCATATCTCAGTAGTAAATTGAACATTTCCTAAGGAATTTTCAAATATTCTACCAAAGTGGAAGCCAAGATGAACGGGGGATTTGCATTTGCCATGCTGACATTTGCAATGTCTAGCTACGTGGTTGGCAATGCGTACATCCAGAAGCAACAATTTTATCCCACGGTCGTCCACTTGACAAAGTCGAATTCTTATATGGCCGTAAGTACTGAAATTTGTAGTGCCACTAAAATATTCAATTGTTTGAGAGGACATTTCGATTTGATTTCAGCTACATATCGCCTCATATCTATTGTATTGCATGTATTCAATTCTGTACAATAGGTACTGTACGTCCAAGCGTTTGTTCTAGTGCTCGTCATGTTCAAATCATTCAGGTGGATCTTCTTTGGTCAGCTGCGTTTGGAGGAGACTGAGGTATGTGTGATATTTAAAAGAATGTCCATGTTGTGCTTGTACGTGTGGTATAGTTGGCACGGGCTACTACTGTCGTGGACATGGAAATCCCGTCGCACGTCTAGCGGCCCCAGGCTGCCGGCCATGCAGCCGTGGGTAAGCGGTACAGACATCCATTTATGCGCTGCAGCGCGCTGGTCGCATCGGATCAACACGACTGTGCACTGCACGCAACGTTCTGTACTCACTGAGGGCGCCGGCCCCGGTCATTCGACTGGATTTCCATGTCCACTACAGTAGAAGCTTGATGTCTAGGACCAGGGTTTGTGTCGTCACTCAGACCCTGGCTTCATCCAGTCCTCGGATAGCTCGCTACTGGCACTGCACAGGACTGCCGGAAGCAGTTTTCGATTGTTCCGGCCATACCATGGCCTTTCGTATTTTGTGTATGATACGGCGGGTACACATGACCACCTCAGCATGAAAGATGCGACAGTGGCCAACAAGTTGGTCAGGCGATGGTCAGACCAACTGGACCGGGTCCTGCTGCATGCTGCATCTTCTGGGGTATTGTCCTTACTGGTGGGTTCAGTAAGCCAACTCTCTCTATCTATCTATCTATCTATCTCTCTATCTCTCTATCTCCCTCTCTCTCTCTCTCTCTCTCTCTCTCTCTCTCTCTCTCTCTCTCTCTCTCTCTCTCTCTCTCCCCTGCCACACACACACACACATGTGTGTGTCCAACTCCCGATATGCTCCTCTTCGTCATCAGGCCGACATTGGCACGGTGGCAACGTTCTTGCATTTGGTGTTGGTGCATACACGTCTTGTATTGTACTCAGTGGAATACGTGTATTCCTTTATAGGCGGTTCAGACTACGGCCAAAATCACGTCTGGACTTGAATTTCCAATGTGATGCAGTCGTGTTTCAAAATGATTGTGCCCAATCGCTGATCAAACACGTCTGAGTCATAGAAACGTGGTCACGGTTGGCCGTAGTCCGAATAGCCTATTATTGCCAATTTATTGGATAATGCAGCTAAACTCCGCTGCTCTGCTATGTGTCTGATTTGATGTGCCTTCATAGCACCTGGTCGAGCGCTTGTGGTACGCCATACCCGATACGTGCCTGGCGTTCACGTTCTTCTCGCAAGACTTCAGTCCTCAGTTCGTGGCCATGTTCACGATTCTGTTCTTGATCAAGGCCTTCCACTGGCTGGCCGAGGATAGAATTGACTATGTGAGTAGCACAACCTAGTGGTATCCCGGTGTGATACTCCTACTGATCAATGGTTGCTGAATGCTGCTTCGGATGGTGTTCCTTGGTTACAGCACACACCACAGGCATGCTGTAACATTTTCACATGACCTGTTCTTTGCCTTTAATATATGGACAATGATCAATGGTTGCTGAATGCAGCTTTGGATGGTGTTCTTTGGTGACATCACACACCACAGGCATGCTTGAACGTTTTCACGTGACCCGTTCCTGGGCATATGCATGTGTGCCACCATTCTTCACATGGATTGTTCATGCATATTGCTTACTAGTATTCCGCAAGGAATACCTGTTCTTGTGTAGGTCATACCAAGAGTACATAACCCCCCAGAGTGTACAACGCCCGCTCGACCAAGACCCTATGCAGAGCTGGATCAGCGTTGCACACTCTGGGGGGTTATGTACTCTTGGTCATACCCAGCTGCCCCATGATAGTTGCATAGCTCCATCAAGTGATTCTTGTTAAAATAAAATAAAGCACAATCAATGCTTCTCTTGCCATGCTTTCTGTGCATCCCTGGACACGAGTGTTTGGCGTATTAATCAAAGTAGAAGACGGACCAGGTGAAGGCATCCATTCGAATGTATTATCAAGTTCTGAGTTGTACTTTGCTCTCGCTGCTGGCGTTTAGATGAGCACTGTTTGCTGCCATGTGTTGTACTGTGATGTGAAACAGATGGATCGAAGTCCGAGCGTCAATTGGCTATTCCATTTGCGTGCTTTAGGTAAGGCCAGCACTCGCGTGCATTTCCTGTAACTGTCAATTCTGACTATATTATACATTTGTAAGGCAGAAGGTGCTATTGTGTTGCGTATACATGTAGAGATTAAGCGAGTGATGTCATAGTGGTGAACTAGTGATGCCATAGTGGTGAACTAGTGATGCCATAGTGGTGAACTAGTGATGCCATAGTGGTGAACTAGTGATGCCATAGTGGTGAACTAGTGATGCCATAGTGGTGAACTAGTGATGCCATAGTGGTGAACTAGTGATGTCAGTTGTGTCTCTCCCTCCCGTTTCTGCTTCTTTTGTTTTGTTTTGTTTCACAGGCATGGTCGCCCTATTAGCAGTCATTGATACGGTCATCTCACTCAAGTCCCTGTCATCTGTGCTAAACCAGGGGCCATCTGTACAAGTTGTATTTTCATTTGAGGTTAGTTTGTGTACTCTTAGAAATCAGGTTTTCTCGACCGTCTCGCTTTGAGCAGGACCGTCCTTTTTTTGGACCAAAACATTGCAATACAGTAAGGCAGGTGGTCCCCCTATCCAGGGTCTCTTGATTGAAAATAACATCTCCTTGTCCAAGGTGTACTGTAGTGGTCCTCTGAGGCAGGTGGTCACCTTATCAGATTGGTCGCCTTGACATTTTCTACTGTTAATGTTATAAGATAAACACTATTGGATTCTCGCTTCGGAGCGGTGATGAGGTTGGGTAACCTGATAAATTAATCACTTGCCAGTCATGGTTCTCTTCTGTGACTGCAACGACATGCCTTCAATGATGGGAGTGCGTTGATTCCCGCCGTTGAAGTGTATAAATTCCCCAATTCATGCGTGCCGGATTATCTGTCCAACTTGTGTATGGTACATTCGCATATGCTGATCCTGTCGCGCCCCACCCTTCACTCACTCAGCTTCTTTCCTATGTTCTTTGCCTGCATTTGTGTGCGTATGTGTGTGCGCGCGCGTGTGTGTGTGTGTGTGTGTGTGTGTGTGTGTGTGTGTGTGCGTGTGTGTCCACAGTATGCCATTCTCTTGACAATGGTCTGCACTATATTCGTCAAGTACGTACTACACTCGATCGACCTGGCGTTCGATCACCCATGGGAGAACAAGCCCGTCTACCTACTGTGGTCTGACTTGTGCCTAGGTAAGTGAGAGTATGTACTGAAGTACATTAATGTTGTGGACATTGAAATCCGGTGGAATGACCAGGGCCGGCACCCTCACTGCCTAGCACGTTCACGCACTGTGGCTCATGCACACACTGCAAAAATGGAGCAGCAGTACTCACAGGCTAGCGCCCCGTCTCCGCTTGACTTCTCAACGGATTTCAATATCCAAAACAGTAGTATGACAGCCTGCATGGAGTAACTTGCCGATATGTAGATTTGTGCACTACATTCCGGCATGCTGAGTCGTGCATGGAATACCGCTTCATGCTATCCCAGGGTTTGATGAATGTCACCTGTCTTCCTGTACTTGCCCATGGATTTCCAGTTCGTTTTTCAGTGTCTATCTTATGTATTGACTTGATGTGCATCTCTGTCTTGACCATTGATAGTCATAAATGCCGTGGAGGTTTATACAGTGAATGCCAGTCCACGTAGCCGTTGGCATCCCGCCATTGCCTTGACTCGCCGCTTGTGCTCGCATGCTGTGTGTATGTGTGCCCGCGTGCGCGTGTGTGTGTGTGTGCATGCGTGTGTGCACGCGTGCGTGTGTGTGTCTGTGTCTGTGTGTGTTGGCTTCATGGCTTGGTTGTTTGCGTGCAGAATTTATCCGTGTCATATTGTATTACACGCTCATTTACTTCTTCCTGATGAAAGTTCACACACCGCCGCTATTTGCCTTCCGTCCATCCTATCAATCACTAATGTGAGTATACGTATAGTCATGTGCTGACCATGTGAAAATTACATATCTGCCATCATTGCACGTGCCTCATCCTGCTACTTATATGCTATTGTGGAAGTACACGGTTGTACATTGTTGGGAGACTACAATGCATTGGGTGTTCGTTCAGTAATACCCAGTGGTGTTCAGTGGTTGGGGTGTTCGGTGATTAGGTTAGTCAGTGATTTGGGCGGACAGGGTTTGGGGTGGGCAGTGGTTCTGGTGGTCGGTGTTTGGTGTGTTCAGTGGGTGGGTGGCGGTAGTGGTAGGGGTGTTCAATGGTTGGAGCGTTTCACCCCTGCATCCAAGATCCAATCAATTCCTGATTTCGAAGGCCACCATGGTGCTCGTTGGCATGCCATTTGTGTTTCAGAACGTGTGTGCACTGTCCTTGTCTTGATGTCTGTGTTCTGGCTGCTGCTTCTTTCTTTACCTCACACCCGGACAGGCGAATGTACAAGTGCATTCGTGACATCATCCAATCACGGCGTGCTATTCTCAATCTGAATGCATTGTAAGTACATGTAGTCCATTGCGTTGTAGGTGGTACATGTGCATCATTATGTACCGGCATGCTAAATGTAGTCTTTCCATTTTCCATGCTTGCTGTTACTGTTTAGGAATGTGCTCTATTGTCACTGTACCTGCATCATTCTTGAGAGAAATCCTTGTCATAGCTAACATTCTCAGTTCGCTGTGATGTGTAGCTTGTTTTCGTCTTGAGTGCGCTCACCTTCCCCCTTTCTCGAGTTATTTCACAACTTAGAACCTTCCAAGTTGGAAGGCTGTTGGCGTGCGCATTCGAGACGCAATGGAGCTAAACGTCAAGTCGTTGAATATCAGTACCACAGCAGTCATTAATGTGCTAACTGTTGCACGTTATGACTCGTCAATATCAAGCTTATAACTGCCAGCGTTGGACAACTACAGGTAATGTGTAAACCTCTGGTCCTTTCTTCTTGTTTTTAAACGTGTTTGTTTATTTTGTTGCAGACCCGATGCGACCGCTGAGCAGCTCGCCAACCAGGACAACGTCTGCATCGTGTGCCGCGACGAGATGCAGCCCAACGCCACCTGCAAGGTGCTGCCGTGCTCGCACATCTTCCACGTGGCCTGCCTACGCCGCTGGTTCCAGCGCCAGCAGACCTGTCCGACCTGTCGCACCAGTGGCCTGACCAACGCCGCTCCCGGCGGCGCTCGTGGGGCAGCAGCAGCACCGGCAAGGGGTGCAGCAGCGGCCGCAGCGGCGGCACCTGCTGCTGCAGCTCCCGCAGCGGGAGCACAGCAGTTCCAACCGGGACAGCAGCCTCACCCTGGCTTCAGTAAGTCCTTGATAATTCCATATCCTTGCACGCGAGTGATCGTGTGTCTCAGCATAGAGTTTTGTACAAATTTGTGGCGGTGACATAAAACACAAGGTTCTTTTCTAACCACGCTGGGACCCACAGTTGATTGGGAACTTGTGGCCCCTGGCACAGGAGAATCGTTGATGCAGCGAATTGGGCTTTTGGTCCTTGCCCATTTTGCGGTGGGTGTAATGTACTCACCTCATACCGCTGTAGAAGCTGCATATATGCCGGTTGTGGCATTTGCTACGGATGCAGAACATTCAGTTTGCCTGGGTCTCGTGCGGACCGTGAAAAAAGCAAACATTGTACATGGGCAGGTTTGGAGAGTCGCTCTCTGTGTTTATGTTCTATGTTGTGCGCAGATATGATGCCTGGCGGAGTGCCACCGTTTCCAATGTGGCCACCGCCTGGTATGTTTCCACCGCCGGTACCACCACCCGTAGCACCAGCAGCTGATGGAACAGCACCAGGTAAGCATGAGCAACAACTGTTGCTATTGTTTTTGATACTGCATGCCTGTGGCTCATTTGTGCTGTCCTCCATGCCCCTTAGCAATGATCTCTATTGTGCGTGCGTGTGTGTGTGTGTGTGTTTGTGGCGTGTGTGTAAAAAAAATGAAAAATGAAAAAATAGGGATTCACTGGCCAGAGAAAGCCACTTCAATCAGCTGTGTGGTGGATACCAGGCTAAAATTAGTGGCGGTCAATTCATTAGCCTTGCAAGCTGTTGAATGGTGTAATCCCAGCACAAGTTGGTATGTCTAACATAGCTGTCGCTATCATAGCTTCCGCAATGGGCATATCTGAGGTGTGTGTTTGTGCGTGCGTGTGTGGACGTGTGGTTTGTGTTTCAGCAGCAGCTCAAGGTGCATCGTCATCTGCAGAAGCTGCAGCGCAGCCGGCAGCTGGATTCCCAGTTCCACCGCCTGGTTTCTCCCCAGTTCCACCCCCTGGTTTCTCCCCTGGACTAGTAAGTACTAGATCTCCTGTATGCAGTGGCTGGCAGCTTACACCGCTGCTTGTTTTTTTTTCCTTTCCCTCCTACCATTCCCGTGTCTACTTGTGATGCATGTGTTTGCATATCCATCACACCGGTTGTGTTAGAGTTGCTTACTCTGTCCCGGCTTCATGTGTTCAGTCAACAGATTTGCTGCCTGTCTCCTCCGTGTTGGAGGAAATATTGTCAATGTATGATCCTTCCAGGGCGATGGCTTACCGTATTTCCCTGATTATAAGTCGCATTTGATTATAAGTCGCACCCCCATTTTCAGGTTTAGCCCTACTGTTTCAATATATTCATATAAGTAGGTTGTCTTACTCGATTGTAAGTAGCATCCCCTTCTTTGCCCTTGAAGTTTAGTGTAAAAAGGTGCGATTTGCAATCGGGGAAATACGGTAGTAAGTAGTGCTGTTGTAGTGAGTGTGCAGCATTGGATTGCTAGTGTTTGGTGGCTGGTGCTGCTTGATGACTTGCCAATCTTCAGTATTGTATGGGAACAGCTAGAGAGTGATAGAGACGGTGTTTTGTGTGTTCTCTTCCTGCAGCCCATACCGCCATTCTTTCCCCCGCCACCACCATTCATGCTTGGTAAGTGGCTGTCACTGGCGGCGACTGTTTTCGCCGAGTCCTATCCTGCTGTTTGATGTGCCAAACCTGGGTACAAGTATGTTGACTTCATCCAGCTCCAGCGTTACTGGGTTTGCATGTTTTCATTCTTTATTTATTTATTTTATTTTTTTTACCAATTATTGACTTTTTTAGTATTGCATTATTTCCACTCAGTGTGTTTATTTTGGGGAATTGTGCCCAAGTCGCACCAGCCTCTTCTTCACACGGTGTTTATTTTGCCCGCAAAAGAGGCTTTGCATCCAGCTCACTTGTATTTGCCTGCCACGCATGACGCTCCGTGATGCCTTTGACGGCCAACAAGAGCTTTGTTCTGTTTCTATGTTTGCGCTGCAGGTGGAATGAATCAGTTACCGCCGGATCTGTCACAGCTGAGCGATGAACAAATCAAGCAGCTGGAGGGTGACGAAAGGAAAGCTGCGGAAGCACGCATCGAGGTGCTGCGCAACATTCAGAAACTATTAGACGCGGCCGTGCAGCAGATGGAAATCTACTATTCAACGGCGTCATCGCCGCCAGCTCCATCCTTCAGAGCCGCTGCCGCTGCATCATCGTTCAAGGCGCCGGCAACGTCCACTCGCCAACAGGACCAAGGTAACACAACCACTCCAAGTGTTGAAACGCTACACCCGGGCCAGGCGCAGGGACAAGCTGCTCAGGCAGGCAGTGAGGATACGCCGGCCGAGATTCGACAGCGGCGCCTGGACTGGCTGCGCTCCACGTCTCAGCTCTCGGACGATGCAGGCGCCAGCGGTGCGAATACGCAAAGCAGTGATGTGTCGCCGTCTGGCGATCGGCGAAAAGCTTCCACCGAGGACGATGTAGACTGAGTCTGCTCTGCATTGTGTTGGATTGGTTTACTACCTTGCTACCTAGCGCTTGCTTTCACTCTACGCTGACTGGGAAGTGCTTGCCTGCACCTGCACGCGACGATTTGGCCAGTGCCAATTTCGCCTATGCTCGCGTGCGTACGTTTGATTGTTCCCTTGCCCAACATTTGCTGATTGTACATATTTTGAATTCCCACACGCACACCGTATGTGTATAGTCGGTACGCTATCATGTGATTATCGCGACTGAGCTGCTTTTTAACAACACTTGACAAGACTACAGTCTGGTACCCGTGTCCTTGCGCAAGTGTCTCTCTACTTCACTCTTGCTTTTTCTGTTTCTCATGCGTTTGTGGGGATTTATTCCGGCCGTCCTTTTTTTGTGACTTGTTCATATCAACCGATACTCTGTCTCTCCCTGCTTGGCTCTGCACAAGTCAAATAGTTCGTCTTTGTGTTCTGCGCTACATGGCATACCTGTGCTGAGATTTATGCTTGTTTGTAATAAAGAATTCTTTTGAAATTCTTAGAAAGGTTTGTTGTAAAGAAGTTTTAACACGAAGAAGAAAAACGGCAAGTCCCATGCACTAGCATACAGCCATGAAATCTTACTGCATAGGCCTGTGCGAGGAGAAATTTTGATCTAGCCTTCTACGAAATAATATCGCTGCGCACAAGGCACTTTCTGTGACGCGACTTGGGAAAGAGCCAAGATGTGTGTGCACGTTGTGTCGCTGCTTTTTGCATGCTGGCAGTGGCAGTCAGGACAGCTGTTGTCAATGAAACTACTGCAAAACTACAAAGAAATATCTCAATGCCAGATAAAAAAATTAATGATAATAATATGTGCAGAGAGTCGTTTTTACAGCTCCCTGAATGTGTGGCTGTCCAGACCATGCATTCAGCACAATAAACACCACCCTTTGGTTACAGCAACATGGCAGTAGTGTTGCTGAGCTGAGCCAGTCATTAGTAGACTCATTACTGTCAGTGTGTCCCATAGTTCAACGGGCGTGTGCGCTGGCCATTAGAAATTCTCTTTGCACGGGCAGGGGAATGCTGGATGCTGACCATTCGCCTTTCAAGGTCACAGTGTCATTCTGCACCACGGTGGATTGCATCTAGGTCTGTGGTTATGATAACAAGGAGAAAAGAAAAGAAAAAATTCACGGTTTGCATTAAAATAAAAGTCAACAACAACATTTATACTCAGTTAGGGGCCGGTCACACTGAGGGAAAATTTGAAAAAAATCCGTGGTTACCATGTTAATCCACTCGATGAAAATCAGCTCGAGGCCTCGCTTTTCCGCCGAAGATTATAATCATCCGCGGCTTCCACTGGATTTCTTTGAGTTTCCTTGGGTTTTTTTATTGCATTATGAAGTGGAGCCATACTCTGGAGGCTGTGCTGATGCAGCTCTGGCCCAGGAGCGGGGCTGACAGACTGCCAGAATGAATGGTGACAAAAAAATAGTTCGTGTGGGTGAATTTTTTTCATCGTGCGTATCCAGTGTGGCCGTGATGAAAAGCAGAAAAAATTATTCCCGGTTTATAATCTCTGAGGATCGTTCCCTCAATGTGACCGGCCCCTTAGACTGAGCTTTCCGCATCCAAGAAGAACGAGCCTAATCTATTGATTTATACAAAAGAAAAATGGACCAAGGAACTACAAGTTACGCTATATTGTCCATTTACACTACCAGTTACTAAACAATCAGCTCATGCAGTCAGTGTCAGTACCGTCGGTGAGTGTCGTGCAATGTTATCGCATGAGCTGATTGTTTAGTAACTGGTGGCGTTAGCATTATAACGTAACTTGTAGTTCCTTGGTCCATTTTTCTTTTGTATAAATTAATCATAATCGGCCTTGGCTCTCCATCTGAGTCCATTCTAATCTATTGAGTATGTACATGTACCCATCCGGCACTGGGTACTAGCAAGCGTTTGTACTCTTGGTACTAGTAAGTGTCACTAGTCTGAGGGTCACTCCTGCACATCTGGCCTACACCCACTGTTGCAGAGAGAGGGAGGGAGAGAGCCAATCACATAAGGATTCATCGCAGCACTCCGGTGGCATGCTTGCATCATGCATACTGCCGCAGTGTAGAGTGCCAACCAGAGAAACTCACCCTCATCATTGCAATAATAAACCAATGACAGGTGCTGCACGGCCACAGGGCCAGTACTGCAAGTACTAGCCTACTACTAGGCTGTGGACTAGTGCTCAGATCCCCCCCCCCCAGAACGCGGCCCTACTTTATTCATGAGGGGAGTTTCACTGGTCAGCACTGGCCTTTGCTTTTGACATGCATGACCTTGTCACAGATACTACCAGCAGTGCGCACAGCTACACAACCGGTACTGTACACTGTACACAGTGTATGTGCATGTTCTATAGAATTCTAGTCCATTACATGCACAGTTGTGCTAGTCCATTACATGCACAGTTGTGCTAGTCCATTATTATTATTTATTATTATTTATATTCATTACATGCACAGTTGTGTGCCGAAACATACCACAGACTATTAGTCGGGTATGCATACCGACCTCCAATACACTGATCCTATTTCCAACCTCCAATACACTGATCCTATTTCCAACCGCAAGCAACATACTTTAGCGTTTGGCATGCCAACATCCAGCATGACATAATACTATTATAGATCCCTTTCCACTCGCAGCAAGAGTGCATAAACAAGAGTATGCAACTGTGGTGATGGGTCAGTGCGCGGCGCGCTGCCTTCATTACGTAACTTGCCTTCATCACGCTCTGAAAGCATGCATCAAACTCACAATTTCTCGTGCGAGCCAATCCGTTTTTGCTCGATTCGTTCCGGTACCTACGCGATATCTAAATTCTGGCGCGTGAACTCCAGTTCCGTACGAAAGTTCATTTCAAACCAGAGGGAAAGTGCGGTGTTTGATTTTCTGCAGTGCGCGGACTGCAGCTGAATGATGTAATGAAGGCAGCGCGCCGCGCATCTGGCCCATAGAAAAGAGATCACAGTTGCATACTCTTGTTTGTGGACTCTTGCTCGCAGCTATCCGGGGATAAAATTGTGATCGACCCATGGCCCGCTTCGCTGTAAGAACTAACCACCTAGCTTATTGCTCTGCAACATCAGGGGTACTCACCACTTTCTGCTTGGCTTTGGCCAGGGCCACCCAGTCCGGCGTAGCCACTGCTTGGGGCGCTGCTTCCACTGACGGCTTCTTCGTCTTTGCAGGCTTCAACCCCACCGCTGGGTTCGCAGATAGCTTCCTGGCCGGCGCCGCATCAACTGCTTCTTCTGGCGCAGATGGTTCGTCAGGCTGACTCTTTAGGCGCTCTGCCCTGCCCTGTATTTCAAGTAAAAAAAAAGAGAGAGGGAGAGAGAGAGAGCACAGAAAACACATAAATGCCTCACCCTCTTCTGCATCCATCTTCTGCATCCAGCAGTAAATTCTACGTTCAAAACCCGGGAGCATTGCCAGCAGGAAATACGCCGCTGCACACTCACACAGTTGTAACCGAAATGCCACTTTCTCTTGTGCAGTCACTGGCTGAAATTGAAAAAGGAAGCAAAATACAGTCTACGTCATCATATTCTTTTTAAAGAATTCACACCATGGGAATTCACACCAGTGCTACAGCGCCCGCAAGGAGATGTAATAGTTCATGCCATTCGAATGCCTGAGCTTTGCTGTGCCTTACTCGAGCCACTGCGACCCACTGCGGCTCGGCTAGCCTGGCTGTGCGTGCCAGTGAAGGCGACTCGGACACATCGAGCTGCTTCACTGGCGTACCCACCGTTTTGACGCGTCGCTTCGGCAAACCTGCTACCCCTGCCGACTGCGGAGGAAGAGATGTAGCGGCAGCGGTAGCGGAAGCAGCAGCAGCAGCAGCTACAGGTGGCTCATCATCAATCACTGTAATCGGTTCGTCATCAGCAGCGCTGTCAAGCATCGGTACGGAGCGGGAGCGTTTGTACGGGGACGCTTTCCCCGGAGAGCGAGCGGCTGAATTTGAAGGAGAAGAGTTGAGCTGATGCGCAGTGAACAGGCAGAAAAATTAGAAACTATGAAATCCAAGTGTACATCTCGGTATCCGTATACATCCTATGTAGTGCAATCATCCATAGTCTCAGCTGCTTTTAAATTAGCCGTCTTTTGACGTGCCAGGAGATGTCTATATAAATAAATAAAAGCCTGTGGTGCTCTATTCCTCCCTCTCACATGCATACCTCACTGCTTCTCTTACGAAGGAGTGATTTTGGCAATTGCCGGCAAAGTGCTCAATGCACAAAGTGCAGAGCGTTTCACATGAAAAATGAGAAAGAGGTCCAGTTTGGATTTGTCGTAACTCAAAGTGTCATGCTACTGCAATCATCAGACGACACGACGGGGTCGTCTGATGATGGCAGTGGCATGAAACTTTGAGTTGCGACAAATCCAAACTGGACCTCTTTCTCTTTTTTCGTGTGTCACTGCTTCTTTTATATATTCCGATCTTGGCTGTTCAAGCGTTATTAGTTGTCTGATGAATGTGATGATTGCCCAAGGGCATGAAACTAGTAGTTACAACAAATATGCGTGGTGCTCTGTGATTTGTTTGTTTTGCCGAGTATGTTTTTCATCAATGCCCAGCAGGTTCTAGTACATCCCCAATGCACATGTTACCTACCGTGCTCTGTGCTTGTGCCACAAGGTCAGCCGATGGCACATGCTTGACTCGTCTGCTTGGACTGCGGCCCGGCGAGCCATTCTGAAGGCGCGTTTGAACCACCAGATTGACGCCGAGCGAGTTGCCGGACAATTTCTCTGAACTGCCCACCGTTGGCTGAGCTGAAGAAAGGTTGACGTCCCTGCACGCATGCAACAAATTGCGGTCATACAAACCCAGGCCAGAGTTTAGCTCTTGGTCCACGTGCCCATCAACACAGTGCTGAATCAATATGATTGAGCTGATTGACTGTTTGATGTACAGTCGTGGCCAAAGAAATCCGACCCCCCCCCCCCCCCCGCAAGTCAAAAGTAGCGCCGCGTTTCCATTCAATTATAGTAACACCTGTGGCTAATGGCCACCCCTTGGTACCAGAGAAAGCGGTCTTTAGTCTTAGTTAGAGGTTTGCACCGCACAACCATAATGAATGTGAGACCGTCCACCCGTGCCTGGCGAAGTGGTCTGTAGTACCAGGCTGGTCGCTAGTTATGGTGGTCTGTAGTACCAGGCTGGTCGCTAGTCACGGTGGTCTGTAGTAGCAGGCTGGTCGCTAGTTATGGTGGTCTGTAGTACCAGGCTGGTCGCTAGTCACGGTGGTCTGTAGTACCAGGCTGGTCGCTAGTTATGGTGGTCTGTAGTACCAGGCTGGTCGCTAGTTATGGTGGTCTGTAGTACCAGGCTGGTCGCTAGTTATGGTGGTCTGTAGTACCAGGCTGGTCGCTAGTTATGGTGGTCTGTAGTAGCAGGCTGGTCGCTAGTTATGGTGGTCTGTAGTACCAGGCTGGTCGCTAGTTATGGTGGTCTGTAGTACCAGGCTGGTCGCTAGTTATGGTGGTCTGTAGTACCAGGCTGGTCGCTAGTTATGGTGGTCTGTAGTACCAGGCTGGTCGCTAGTTATGGTGGTCTGTAGTACCAGGCTGGTCGCTAGTTATGGTGGTCTGTAGTACCAGGCTGGTCGCTAGTTATGGTGGTCTGTAGTACCAGGCTGGTCGCTAGTTATGGTGGTCTGTAGTAGCAGGCTGGTCGCTAGTTATGGTGGTCTGTAGTACCAGGCTGGTCGCTAGTTATGGTGGTCTGTAGTACCAGGCTGGTCGCTAGTTATGGTGGTCTGTAGTACCAGGCTGGTCGCTAGTTATGGTGGTCTGTAGTACCAGGCTGGTCGCTAGTTATGGTGGTCTGTAGTAGCAGGCTGGTCGCTAGTTATGGTGGTCTGTAGTACCAGGCTGGTCGCTAGTCACGGTGGTCTGTAGTACCAGGCTGGTCGCTAGTTATGGTGGTCTGTAGTACCAGGCTGGTCGCTAGTTATGGTGGTCTGTAGTACCAGGCTGGTCGCTAGTTATGGTGGTCTGTAGTACCAGGCTGGTCGCTAGTTATGGTGGTCTGTAGTACCAGGCTGGTCGCTAGTTATGGTGGTCTTTAGTTACAGGTTTTACTGTACACCATGCATGTTCCCAAAACTGATCCGAGGGCCTCAGGGCCGACATGAGCCTTGGCGCTGCTTTCGGCACGTGGGTTGGGTCTCTTTGGCCACCACAGTAGTATCAACACCGGCAGACTAGCACACAGTCATATCACATGTTAGTAGTCATGTAAGTGTTTTATCCGCAAGCTGCACATGTGCCTGAGCTGCAGTCTTACCACATCCCTTGCTTCCTCTTCGGCTCTTGCTCATCCCGCATGTTATCCTGAACACAATCATATACATGCATGACAGTATTGAGTACAAATCGAAGTCAGGGAATATTACGCTGCCATAAGGCCTATCTTGTCACAGGAATGCATGGGTGCATGTACGAGTTTGATGCACACAAGATCACACATGACTGGCCCAAGCCTAGAATGTTGTGTATGCACACACTGGTGTGATCACGGTATCATGACGAAGTTGGGTCATTCAATTGCAGCCATCATGATCTTCTAACCGGCTTGGTCACAGTAACAGAGACCAAGCATGCCAGACCAGTACATGCTTGCTTGTACCTTGGCGTCTTTCTTGGGCGATTCAGGCACGTCGGTCACGAAAAGGTCTTCCGAGCCTTTCGGCTCATCCGGCGAATGAACGGATCTGGGACGCGACGGTTTTCGAACGCTCCTGCCGCGGGCTATGTCACGTTTGGCATGGCCGACCTGCAGGCCAAGGCTTGGCCCCGTGGTTGGTAGCAATGCATCTAGGAGGCACACAGCATGGCCACAGAAAAACAGGAATGCGGCCACCTAAATCAGTAGGTGAAAGGACTAAAGTCACAGTATCGCCGGGTATTGAGAACTTATGATTATGGCCTTCAGAAGAAGAAAACACATGGGAACGAGTTATGAAGCAACTAGCCACAAGTGTAACAAGATAATAAGCAGTCAGAACGCGCGATAACAGGGCACAAAACTGACAGGCTACTGAGACATTCAACTACCTAAGACCTAGTTCTAACACATCTCCAGTGTGCAAACCAACAGCCTTCCAACTTGGAAGGTTCAAGGGTGGGTAGGATCAAAAAGGGGAAGGTGAGTTGCTTCATAATTCGTATTGTGTTGTATTTCAATGAGGTAGTGAAGCTCTAGCATGCAACTGCTGTTCGATGGCTTCATAAGAATTTGCGAGAAACTTGACTCACCGAAATCGGAGGATGATGACTTCCTGCCAAACACTTTCACACTCTTGCTTCGCTGTGGAGGCCTCTTCTCCTCCTTCTTGGGTTGAGCTGGCAAGGATGTCTTCTTGCTTGGGGTTACGACTGCAGGTGCTTCTAGCACCTCCGGCGATTGTGGCCTCGACAGACTTGTACTCGTACCTGGTTTGTGATAGCCGCCACTGAACTTTCCTGGCGATGTCATCAGTGCCTGTTGGAGATCGGCAATCTTGGAGTCTTTCTTTGCGGGCAGCTCGCTCACCGAGGATCTAGGAGACGCGGCATGCGGCGGTGTGAGTGTGATCTCGGGACTGGCAGCTGTGTCGCTGTCAGTGCTCATGGTGCGGGAAGTCAGCTTCTTACTGGCCTTGCCGAGGGCGACCTCTAAGTCGAGTGTTTGCTCGGTACTGACCTCGAAGTCATCTAGGAGCTGTACCTTCTTTCGCTCTTGGTCCTCGTCCTGCTCCGGGTCCGGAGAGCCAGTGGCAAGGATCGACCTTCTGGCGGCGACGCTGACCATCCGACCAGACTTGTGCTCAACAATGAATGCACTGCCCTTGGACGAGGAGCTGCGCTTTAGCTTGCTCTTGCGCTGAGTTCCCGGCGTCGTCGGGGCGCTCTTGCTGAATTCGGCCATCTCTTCGAACGACATCTCCTTCGTTATTTGGCGGCGACTGCTGCTGGGCGACGATGGGGCTGACCCTGGAGGCTTTTCCTTCTTTGATGTTTCCCAGGGAGATGGAACCACCAAAGCATCTTCTGCATTTTATGTTACCAACACAGGGAGATAGAGATACTGGTGTTAGTCTCGACTTCCCTGCAGTTATTGCCAGAATGTCTGATGCAGCTGACACTCTACTAGCCAAGTGACATGTACAATCATTGGACGTTCTTCTTGCCAAAACACCACCATCTATATGGATGAAAATATTTGAAATTTATTCTCTCCCCTAATCCTACCCAGGTGGCTATCCTTTCGGAATGCAAAGCACTAGTATTGAGAAGAAGAAAGCAATGTCATACTGGCGGCAATGGAATTTGTGCGTCCCTAGAACTTGACTTTAGGAATGAGTTAAAGGTCACTGAGTGCTCAGCAAATCTAGGATCTTCATAATCTGCCTATGGGAATCCTCCCATGCCACTACAGACTACACTCGCATAAAGACACATGTCTCTCCAACTAGAGCATGAAACTTGAAGTAGCAGCAAACACGCCTTGATTGTCCTTGTTGTTCTGTTCTGCCTCTCCAACTATAACTAAATGGCACAAAATACCCGGTAGCCCCCAAAGGAGAACCCGGACGGACAGCACAGTGCAACGTCGGCTAGGGGTCATGCGCATGGTCCTTGCCGTCTCCTTGATGTATATGTACTTACCCGATTGTCGGCGCTTGGGCGGTTTCTCCGGCTTATCAGCCAGGGCGACATCTGCAATCAGGTCAGCAGCCTCCTCCAAGCGTTTCATCACGTCATCGTCAATGGCACCCGCTCCATCAGCGCCATCCTCTGCATCGGTGCCGATGGAATCTGCGGCGACCACAGCAGTTGTTGGCTTGTCTTGCATCTCCGGCTCAGAAACAACGTTAATAACAACTGGTACTGGTTTGACAACATGTTCCTTGGCCGAGCTGGGCCGAGGTGATTTGCGCAAGTTATCCTTCAGCTCCGAGACCAGGCTAGCATTACCAATAGGCAAGGTCTGCATCTAACGAAGCAATCATATCCAGAAAGAGAAGGAGAGGACGATGAGATAAATACCTTACTAGCACGGATGCTAACACAGAGTACAGTATTCTATTTGTACAGCTACTCACTGACTTGTACCTATGTTTGACGCAGTATGTATTATGAACAGGCTTCTGCTTTCACACCTCCATGCACATAGTAGAACCAGGTCAAAAACAATAATATGTGTTGAAGAGCCAATGCACTGCAATATGAGACCACACGTTTAGAGAGATTGATCAACTCTGGTCCTCACATCAGTGTGGATATACGCTCGAGCCTGTTTAGATATCCTCCCCCTCCCCCCCCCCCCTACCACCACCACCCCCCCCCCCTCCCCCCACCCACCCACCCACTTAAATATGGCACAAGTACCTTTGATATTGTTGGTTTGACAGCATGAAACAAGGTGGAGGACACCGTGTTTGGAACACAGTGACCTTACTACAGCCATCCACGGTTATCTAATACAAGTACTAATACTAGTACTGTACTAGTATTGGGTTATCTAATACTTCCAGTACTGAGTACCTTTGATGTGCTTGTTCGGGGCGAGGGCCGTGGTGATGGACCGATTCTCACAGGCAAGGTCGCGGTCTGTCACAGCAATAAAAACAAGCAGGTATAAGCATTGCACTGCTAAAAGTAAGCAGCAGCTTTCGGCCTGTTTAAAAAATGAAGCAATTACACCTCCACCGCATGCGCTCTCTGGCCGACCTCATCATGAAGTAAGTCCGATTATCGTGTCCGTTCCCGAAGGGAACGTATGACCGGCCTCATTACACTAGCAAAGTGTGACGAGGTCTACCAGAGAGCGCATGTGGTAGAGGTGGGATTACTTCAAGTATATGCAAGTAGATGTAGTTCTGAGTGACTTAAAACACACTCTGCATAAATAGGTTCTATTAAAGTACTTGGATATAGCATGAAAGAATGCGGAACTCCAGTTTCAGTGCTCTCCCGCCAGAATTTTCAAGTTGATGCCATTCTTCAATGATACAGTATGCCATGCTTGTGTACGTGCGTACGTCTTCCTGGACCAGGGGTGGACATTGCGCAATCCTATCCTGAAAATAGATAAATGGGGCCAGGCACATCTTTGTACTTGTACAATGTCAGAAAACTAAGCACGCAATGAGCATTGCGTCGTGGATAATGATGATGCATTGGGGAGTTGAACGCTCTTGACTGTTTCTTGGTTTTGGAAATCATGTTGCATAGCAATTCACAACACATCTACGTGCCCCATACATCCTGTACACACACCTTGTACACACTCTCTCTAACGGTCTCTAGGCTACACTGCAATTGATATACATTAGCTCAAATTTTCGGGCAAGGCCCATCATCAGGAAATGTGTGTACAGGATGTATGGATTCAAGTATTGGCTACAGTGGAGTCTCCAAACCTTGAGGTCTATGTGCCCAGTCAAAGAAATCCGACCCCCTGCCAAAAGCAGTGCCAAGGCTCAAGCGGCCCCTGCAGCTCTCGGAAAGGTTTTTCCGACCGTGCATGATGTAATTGGAATTGAAATGCGGCGCGACTTTTGACGCGCATGTTGTATTTCTTTGGCCACAACAGTAGCACACATGCCCAGCCATGCACTGGAATACATACATGCCCAGCCATGCACTGGAATGAAATGCCGAATGATTGTGAAACGCACCTTTAGCTGGGCCTGAGTTTGCACTTGAGCCGGAGGGGTGTCGGTCTGTGATCTGGTGTGCGGCATCGCATGACTGGCTGTAGACACGGACGGACAGAAACAGCACATTACCAAATATTGCACACATGCAACTAGTCACTGTTCTAACCAAGGACATTGTAACAGTGCAATTGCATGGCCAGGCTGTGGTAAGACTGATTGCCGATGCAGAACAGTTCGTCCCCCGCATCATAGGAAGAACCAAGATAGCTGGTATAGAGACAGTGTGCAGACCTAAAGCTGAGTACTAGCCATCAATTTTTGTCTCGAGAGCTATGTGTGTTTTGTATTTTTTGCTCCAAAATTGAAAAATATTTTTAACATTGCCTGATAGTGCTTGTTTACAACAAAGAAAGGTAACGCACGAACATGTGAGTATAAACCAATTCCTTCATACCACTGGCTATTTGCAGGACATCCGTGTTCTGGAGTCTTATGGGTATTGGTCGGTTTGCATGGTCATTGTCGAGTAGAATAGGCAGGGTGAAGCAGGGACGGAGTAAAAGCTGGACAATTCAACACGGCACCTGTGGTCAAGCAGGGCGCATGCCCCTTCTAATCTGTCACTATATGTGCTACGATAACCGGTTATGATTATGATATGAATGAGGCTAATGATACAATCCAATCTTGCCTTTCTTCATTAGTGTGGTGATTTCAGCGTGCGTGCATCTTGTAGAGCTTTTCCCGGCCACTGAGACTATCATGTCATTGGTGCGAAGGCCAGCAGCATCAGCTGGGCCACCTGCAAACGACCGAGAAATGCACAAAAACTTAGCAATGGTGCAGCAGTAGCAAGCAATACACATAGAGATTATGTAAGCAAAAGGTTTCCACGGAGATGAGAGTGATATAAACGCAATATGCGAGTTGCAACTTCAGTACACACAGCATAGGCAAGAATTATGAAGAAGATATGACCACAAGAATGCTCCAAGAAAGATATTTCTCACCTATGGTGTGTATACTAAATGCACAACTTGCTCTATTTATGGCCGCGGTTATCCGATTATGGCATCATTTGAGATGCTTTTTTTTGTATTGAAAGGGGAGCTGTTGCACAAGTACTGTACTGCGTAGTACTCGTTTGCCACTCAAATCTCAATATAAACTTTATAGCACCTTTTGCCACTCCATAAAAACAGCAGTGGTTTCCACTCTATGCAAAGCATATGGGGTGATCTGATCCTGGCGTTGTGAATCAATTGTCGTGTGGAAGAAAACTTTTGAGCTCTGTAATTTTGGATTCAAGATATGCAGGTTGTGCCATACGCGTACACCCAGCAACAAAATCTAAGAGCAATAGCGATGATCATGCACGTATCTCAAGGATGCACCAGACGGTTTGCAGCACCAGACCCGCTGTGAATACTGGTCAGTGGACTGGCACAGGGTGCATACTTGTCTCACACGATTTTTTAGGATTTCATTGAGCAGCACCGTAGCATGCGCTGCACAGTGTATTCCGTGCTAGGCTGCATCCCCCCCCCCCCCCCCCTGTTACCTTTTTGTGTTGTTTCGGATAGGTTGCCGTGGTTGGCTATCACCCTTCATTTCACATTCATTTGTCGTTGGCAGTCGTTTGACGAGCCAGGAAATGTTGAATAAAATGCTAATCTCACCTTTTGTTATTTTCATGATGAGCACAGGGTTAACACCAGCCAGAGCCATGCCGAAGTCCTGCTGACCTTCGCCACGCACTGTAACTTGCCGCAGGTCCACCGTTGGGTCGATGTTCTTCTCTGTTGAGAGGGGGTAGGATGGCAAGTGCAGTGCAGTGTATGCACAATGAGGCTATCACGAGAACAATAATACCGATGGATGCTAACAGCAGGAAGGGCAAACCATGACACATATTCCAGAATAGGGCTTTATTTACATGCACTTGAAGCAAGAATGCATCGCACACATATCACACTTCACAGTAATATGACGTCACGAACATATTGCAGACCCCACCCTCTCCATGCTTCATGCGTACCCATGCTTCATGCGTACAGACTCGAGTGCATGAAAGCAGGTTGAGGACTTACCTCGCACGTTCTTCACCGCCTTCACCATCAAGATAACCGGATGCGGGCCAATACGACGAACTGCAATGATGCATGGCATACACAGCTCTCTCAGGATAACATCCATCATAATTAAGCTGCAGACTGACATTTTGCTTATCCTCCTGAGCTATACACAGGGAACTTGGAGCAAAACGTCCATGTAACATACATGTACCTCCACGGGTACTGAAAAGTCTCTACTTTATCGCCAGCATCATGGCAGAGTGCTGGTTTCGCTACAACGGCATGGGGTAGTGGTTTTGTAGTTAAACTAACACTTCCCAGATCCGGGCACGGCCGTCTTCAGGGCACTAGGCACCAGCGGCCCGATGATAATGCTCGAAAAGGTTGCAGATTCTGCTCGAAAAGTAGTGAAATTGTCAGAACCATACAAACCTCATGGCGGGCAATTCCTCAAATTTTGCTCCATTTCTTTATCCACATACCAAACATGCATGAAACCTACCAGAAAAAGTACCGAATTCTGCCAATTTTTCTGCCGGCATAATCCGCCGGTGCCTACCGTGCACCTTTCTGACCCATCTAGTAGAGTCACAAACTGGCTTCTGAATGAAAAACGGCCCCAAACAATCATATTGATTGGCATAAACATCTTTACTTGCGTGTACTACTGTTCTCTCGGGCGCCGAAGAACGGAGCGCCAATGAACTACCAGGCTAGAATTTTACCAAGCACAGCATACCAATATATACACACATGGTGACTCAACTGTGCATAGACTGTGTGCAATACAGTGCTGGCAACTGAAATCCGACCACCTCGGCGGTGGGTTCACATTCTAGCGGTCTCTGTTTCGTAGTTTTACCATCCCGTGTTGGGTCTTTGCGATGTGAGCTCAGGGGGTCGGATTTCAGTTGCCAGCACTGTACATGGTAATAAGAACTGGGGTGGCCAGGGGGCTGACCCCCAGGCCACCCCATGGTTCTTTGGCGATCGCCAGTACTCTAAGTACAGTATGTGAATTCTGAGTTATGGGCAATTCCTAATAATTATTATGAGCAATGCAAGGTCCCAACCTGCCCGCACCTGGGGAGTTCTACTGTAGACTATACCATATCTTTAGTTTTCATGCAGCTGAATGAATGGTATTATCACTGCATTGCTAGTACAGTGTAACTCCACCCGCATTCAAATCCCCACATCCTGGATTTTACCAGTAATCATTCAATCTAATCCTGCTGGTGGTACTAATAGTACTGGGCACACGTCCATAACCATTAGGCATTACATGTACTCTCACACCAGCTGTTTTACTTTTAGACGGTAGAGAACTACAACATGTCATGTATGACTGTAGACTGTAGTCAGTGTAGTGGCGGTGAATTTCATTAGGCCTACTTGATCTGCGTGACTTACCAGAAGGCGAGGGCATCGTTCCTTCGGACACGGACCGCGTCATCTGATTGCTTCCCAGCACATTCTGCGGTGTCAGCAGCAACTGTTGTTTCTGCTGCTGCGGTGCTCCGCTGTTAGCTACATGTCCCGAGGATGGAGTAGCGGTCGATGCTCCGGGAGTCACTTCGGCAGTCGTACGAGTTTCGCCGATCCCAGGTCCCGGTATCGTCGGCGAAATGGCGCTTGCACTTGCTGACGGACGCAGCCTGTTCGCAAGCCGTGGGCTTGGACACGGCGCTTCATTGGGAGCTACCGCGAGTTTCACAGCCTGTTGGCTTTGAGTTTGAGGGCGCTGCTGTTGCTGCTGCGGAACTGTATGTTGACTTGCCGATGGTAGATGAGCTTCTGCCGGAACGGAAGATGCGGGACGTGACTTGCCGCGTCTGGTGAACAATCGTCGCAGAAAGCCGACGCTTTTCTCGCCTTCGACCGGGCTCTGAACAGGGGACTCAACAGAGGATTGGCTCGACTTCTCTCGCTGTCTTCGCGATTTTCTGTTCTCCCGTTTCACGGGCGTTGGCTCCGCGGACACGGATGGTGTAGCAGTGCCTTGGTGCTTCTCGGGTGGAGCCGTGATAGTCATACCAAGGTTGAAGGTGCGGTCCTTGCCCGCCATTCTTCAGTCCAGGCCACTTTGAGCAGCAACTCACTGAATCTGTTTTCCTTCGCTGGGCTTTTTTCTAGCTTTACGATTAGTTCTCTCAATCCTGTACCTTTTGATACTGTGCTCGCTTGAAAGCGATCATTGAACCTGTTACTCGTTTCAGTCTGAGCGTCCAATCTTTGAAGGAACCCTGAATGCTGGCGGACGTAGGAAAATCCTGCCTTCGTTGAACACACTGACGTCGCATGAGCTATGCGAACATGGAGAAGAGGACCTGGGCACTTCGTATGTCTGCCAGTCAGTGAGTGGATTCTACTTCGGCACGTCTCTCGAAAGGCTATGCTGGATAAATGCACGGATCGTAGATCTACACACGGATTGTCCGGTGCTGCAGGGAAGTAAGTTAGTTGATGCAGCGGGAATATGTATCACCGTAATACGCCCAGCATAGTTTAGCCACTGTAGATCTACCGAGCCCTCAGGAACTGCCTTCTTCGTGGATGTTGAGCACCCCGATGGATGGGTTGGCCGGCTACCCTGGCAGACGGCTGACAATCAACGCTCGTCTGCCAAAGACACGTGCGGTGCAGTTTGGCCAAAGTTGGACAATTTGTAGTTTGTAGCACCGTTTTGTCAGCTCACAGGGAGGCCGGTCAAAGCTAGCTGCCCGCCGGATTGAGAACATCACACGTTCTCCATGTCAGTTGATCGTAGATCTACCATGCATGAGATAGCCGTCATAACAAAGTGAGGTGGCCACGAGTTTTTTTGTTCCATGCGCCATGCTAAAGACCTGTCAGCCCAACACGTGATACACCGCAAAGACCAGCTAGCTGTTGCATGGCTGGGTTATGGGACAACACTCTAGACTAAAGCATGACCTGACCGGAGATGAGTTAGACTTTTGAAAGCCTCACACCAACACAACAGTGGATGAGACTTCAGAAGACCTGACAGTACTTTTTGTATTGGCACGGCTGGACAAGCGGATAGCAGCACGATGCATTAACGTTACGCGGGCTGATGGCCGTGTTGGAGCTTCCGTCACCACGTTGTCTGGGTCTTCCGCTCCGCAGCCGCTCGGTGGACGCTCGGGGATGGCTTCTTCCACCATCGCCGTACCTATCCCCAGTGTGAGAGGTGCGCGCCCAGATGGTGAAGCACCATGTTCACGCAAATATGGAAGTTTTGGCCACTACCAGTACAAGTCAAATGTGGGGTGGGAGAAGCTGATGTTTGCACAGGGCTATGTTGTGCCCAAATGGACCGTTACATGCCGTGTACACAGAACTGCACAACCTGCATAGGATTGTCCAAACTAAGCCATTTTCCATGCATACTATTGCGGTTTTGCTGGCATTATGGAGCAATAGCAGCATAAAATTAGCAGTATGATCATGATTTTCTAGCATTTTCCATGCTGTCTACGTAGAACTACGAAATGTGCACAATACTGCCCAAACCAAGCCATTTTTCCATACTTACTACTGGTGAATTGCTGGCATTACAGAGAAACAGCAGCATTATAAGCAGCATTATGATACAGTTTTTCTGGCATTGCCATTAGCATTATCCCGCAAAATAGCTAGCATTATCCGCCCAGGCCTACGTGTTATTGTTAGTAGACATTTAGCGTAACTTGCATTTCCTTGGTCCTTTTTGTTTTGCATGAATGTGCATGCACTTGAGAGGAATCAAAAGTGTTTCTGCTGCAACTCTGACTTCCACGCGGTTTTAACCGATCATCAAACAGCAACTCCCTCCGAGTATGAATGTACATACATGGACAGTAGGTATCGGTTGTAGCGTGGGTGTTTGGAAAACGACTTTTATTTTCAAGTATGACATATCATGTGCATGTGCGCAGACTCGACTGCCGCAAAGGCAGGAAGATCATTTTTTAAATATTTTTTTTAAAAAATACACAACTCACCGGCATTACGTATACGGCAGGCACATGGGGTGAGATGGTGTTGGTGGGGCTTACCATGCTCAACGGACCAGAGGTCTCGGCCTCTTCAGTGTCTTCACATGGCAGGCGCACCAAATTAGGGAGGGAAGCATAAGCATGAGGGGAAAAAAGCACGGGAGAAAATGGAAGATTTAGAACGAAGGAGAGGATCTAATTTTTGGAACACAGCAGAAAATAGCAAATAATCAAACAGAACTGATAATAGGAGTGACAGGAGAGTGTCAAATGAAGGGTGCAATAGGGTAGCAGTGGAGATTGGCTACTCAGGATTGGCGACAATTAGGCTTGGGTGGGAGAAGCAGGGGCATAATCCCGGAGGAGGCTAGAGGCGGTCGGTTGCCCAATCCCAGTCAGACTGCCTCAGGTGGTCATAGACCTTCTTCTTGAAGGTCTGCATGGAGGCAATTCCAGGTGTCAATCATACAGTGGGGGAAGGACCGAAGGACATTGTTGCGAGACTGAGGTGGGACAGTCTTGATCAGCTGGAACGGATGGTGGCTCGCGCGTGCGATCGTACATGCAATGTAGTGCTACTGAGTACTGTGCATGCGGCTGGTCATAGTCACCGATAGGCTTACCATGTGGCTATGCAACATGAGTTACATGACCACAACAGTTGAACCTGCAGCACTACGACCCAACGCGAGTCAGATCAGAACTGCATTGGACGGATGTTATTACTACAGGCGATATACTTTGTACTAATCCGCCATGTAGGAACGATATATTCTACTGTACGATGAAATTGCTTGTAAGAATAAAATTAATGTCGAAGAGAATTGGTGAGCACACATGCTCATTCCCTGGGCACTGCAAATTCACAACTCATTTCATTTCACAGAATCATTTTCAACGTTTCGGCAAATTGCCATCATCAGGATACAATATGAAGTGGAAGTCTGCCAAGGAGCAGTTATATACACTAATTTGGTGTTCTTAGGTGTTGATAACATTTCTATGACTACATATGTTACCTCAGTGCTAGAAATATGACATGTCTAAAACTAGTGAAAGATCACAAGTTTTCACTGACTCATGCGCTGGGTGTTGGTAATAAGTTAGCACAGCGCAGATGTCACCAGATAACTTGAGAAATGTCTGAACAGGTTTCTCGCAAGCAATACACGAATGTGACCATGTCAGTGGTTTCCAGAAAATACTGTCACCTAGATAGCCAGTGTGGTGTGACTGTTTTAGAGTAAGGACCATCCAGCACTGGTGTTGATCTCTGGGCCTTCGTTTCTGATCTCCACTGCCTCTCGCAATTTGCGGCTTGCCCTGTCACTGGCTCTTGCAACCACAGACACTGCCGAGAAGATGCTGTCCCCGACACCTAGGTTGATCCCTGCATGGTTAGCTCGCATGTGGTCACCCCATGGCTTATCCACAGTGCGCCTACGAGCTTCACCGTTGTGTTCCTCCAGTCTTGTCTCCAGTGTCCGTCTCTCCGATGTATTTTTTCCCTGCACAACTAATTGCAGCGGGTATATCACATTCTTCTTCAAACATATTTTCACTCCACCCGACTTACAAGTCAGACACGGTCCCATTGGCCGCCTCTTCTCTTTGTCTTTCTGATGTTGGGCTCCTTAATGCAGCTGGGCGGACTTTGTGCTGAGTGACAGAGCTGACGTTTGAGGCTACTACTAAAAATACATACTATTACTAGCACTGAGCCAATAATAAAGTGAAAAGAACACATAAAATTGAACGAGTTGTGAAGCAACTGCCCACATGACTGTATTAATAATAATAATAATAATAATAATACTGACTGGTTTGAGGGAAAGAGACAAACGGGAAAAGTCTGAAGAAAAAATTGACTGTCACCACCAGGACTCGAACCAGGGACCCTCGCTTGTAGCCAGCGATGCTCTAACCCCTGAGCTATGGTGTAGTCGTCATCCCAGCAGAGGCCGTTCAACATTTTCTTCAGACTTCGTAATAATAATAATAATAATGCAGTCAGAACGTGAGATAGCAAGGCACAACAACTGACGAGCTACTGAGACATTCAACGACCTGACACCTGCATATTATCTTGTTATAGTCGGCGGCAGTCTGAGCTGCTGGAGTTGTTATCACTACTGCTGTCCGAGTACGACCAGCTGTCACTGCTATTGCTGCCACTATCGCTGCTGTTATTCTCTAAGGAGGACGAGAAGGATGTGCTGAAGCAATGATGCTTACGCACTCCAGCTCCTGGCTGGATGCTGCCTAGGGCAAAGAATAGAAAGAACAGTGGTAGAATGGAAGAGCTTCAGTAAAAGTCACCGGGGGGGGGGGGGGGGGGAGCAGTACTCAGTACAAATGTATGTTCTGAATGATACAAAACAAGCGCTAGGGCTGACAGGCCAAACAGTACTAAATGCCTAAAAAAAGTAGATCTAGATCACCTCGAAAAATGAAGGGAGGAAAAGACAATTACCACTCAATGCCCAAAAAAACCCTAAGCACCACTCACGGAGTTCTTTGCTGTTTGCTTCTCGTCACCGTCCTCGCTGCAATCCATCCGTTTCTCTCCTATGCACACCTTATCGAGTTCTTTGCCATTTGTTTCTCGTCGCCGTCCTCGCTGCAACTTGATCCCTCCGCTTCTCTCCTATGCAATGGCGCCGGTACACAAACATGTTGATAGAAGACTGCAGGCAATCTAGAGAGTAACACACAACCAAAATACCCAGACACAAAACACTAGCACGCAAACTTCTGCCATCCTGCAATCCAATGAGTTCACTCATCCCAATCAAAACCACAACTCAAACTCGCCGCCGCATCATAGGAAACGGCTGAAAAGAATAAAAAAAAGTCAAATAATATCTTGGTTCGGTCGTCCGCCGGATACCCGAACCAGGCCGTACCGTTCCGACAAACTGACAACCCAACTATGTCGACGGTCAACCTTCAACAGGGCCCGCAGATCCAGCGGTGAACAAGTTAACGTCTACTTAGAAGTAGAAATAGGATAACTTGGGAAAAAACGTTCAAACCCTGTTCGGACTGTTATTCAAAAAATGTGTATGAAATCAAAGGCATGATGCACTTAGCACTGCCGGCTCAAGTGATTCACATGTGACAAAGAAGAAGGAGTTCCTAGAAGTAGGTTCTCCTCCTGAAAGTGAGTGCATGCTTTTCAACTAAACCAATCAATCTCATCGTGCACGGAAACAGTGCAAATCGTGAAGTTCCCGTGCAAATATTTTACCACAGTGCATTATCTGAAAAAAGAAAATTTTCTACCACTGAAAGCTGTGCTAGTAAGTGATGCTTATGATTTTTTGGCAATGCCGAAAATCGACAATGCCAAAAAACCCTAAGCATCACTTACCGAGTTCTTTGCCGTTTGCTTCTCGTCGCCGTCCTCGCTGCAACTTGATCCCTCCGCTTGTCTCTCATGAAATGGCGCCGGTACACAAACATGTTGATAGAAGACTGCAGGCAATCTAGTGAGTAACACACAACCCAATACATAGACACAAAAAAACCCTAGCACGCAAACTTCTGCCATCCTGCAATCCAATGAGTTCACTCATCCCAATCAAAACCACAACTCAAACTCGCCTGAAAAGAATAAAAAAAAGTCAAATAATATCTTGGTTCGGTCGTCCGCCAGATACCCGAACCAGGCCGTACCGTTCCGACAAACTGACAACCCAACTATGTCGACGGTCAACCTTCAACAGGGCCCGCAGATCCAGCGGTGAACAAGTTAACGTCTACTTAGAAGTAGAAATAGGATAACTTGGGAAAAAACGTTCAAACCCTGTTCGGACTGTTATTCAAAAAATGTGTATGAAATCAAAGGCATGATGCACTTAGCACTGCCGGCTCAAGTGATTCACATGTGACAAAGAAGAAGGAGTTCCTAGAAGTAGGTTCTCCTCCTGAAAGTGAGTGCATGCTTTTCAACTAAACCAATCAATCTCATCGTGCACGGAAACAGTGCAAATCGTGAAGTTCCCGTGCAAATATTTTACCACAGTGCATTATCTGAAAAAAGAAAATTTTCTACCACTGAAAGCTGTGCTAGTAAGTGATGCTTATGATTTTTTGGCAATGCCGAAAATCGACAATGCCAAAAAACCCTAAGCATCACTTACCGAGTTCTTTGCCGTTTGCTTCTCGTCGCCGTCCTCGCTGCAACTTGATCCCTCCGCTTGTCTCTCATGAAATGGCGCCGGTACACAAACATGTTGATAGAAGACTGCAGGCAATCTAGTGAGTAACACACAACCCAATACATAGACACAAAAAAACCCTAGCACGCAAACTTCTGCCATCCTGCAATCCAATGAGTTCACTCATCCCAATCAAAACCACAACTCAAACTCGCCTGAAAAGAATAAAAAAAAGTCAAATAATATCTTGGTTCGGTCGTCCGCCAGATACCCGAACCAGGCCGTACCGTTCCGACAAACTGACAACCCAACTATGTCGACGGTCAACCTTCAACAGGGCCCGCAGATCCAGCGGTGAACAAGTTAACGTCTACTTAGAAGTAGAAATAGGATAACTTGGGAAAAAACGTTCAAACCCTGTTCGGACTGTTATTCAAAAAATGTGTATGAAATCAAAGGCATGATGCACTTAGCACTGCCGGCTCAAGTGATTCACATGTGACAAAGAAGAAGGAGTTCCTAGAAGTAGGTTCTCCTCCTGAAAGTGAGTGCATGCTTTTCAACTAAACCAATCAATCTCATCGTGCACGGAAACAGTGCAAATCGTGAAGTTCCCGTGCAAATATTTTACCACAGTGCATTATCTGAAAAAAGAAAATTTTCTACCACTGAAAGCTGTGCTAGTAAGTGATGCTTATGATTTTTTGGCAATGCCGAAAATCGACAATGCCAAAAAACCCTAAGCATCACTTACCGAGTTCTTTGCCGTTTGCTTCTCGTCGCCGTCCTCGCTGCAACTTGATCCCTCCGCTTGTCTCTCATGAAATGGCGCCGGTACACAAACATGTTGATAGAAGACTGCAGGCAATCTAGTGAGTAACACACAACCCAATACATAGACACAAAAAAACCCTAGCACGCAAACTTCTGCCATCCTGCAATCCAATGAGTTCACTCATCCCAATCAAAACCACAACTCAAACTCGCCTGAAAAGAATAAAAAAAAGTCAAATAATATCTTGGTTCGGTCGTCCGCCAGATACCCGAACCAGGCCGTACCGTTCCGACAAACTGACAACCCAACTATGTCGACGGTCAACCTTCAACAGGGCCCGCAGATCCAGCGGTGAACAAGTTAACGTCTACTTAGAAGTAGAAATAGGATAACTTGGGAAAAAACGTTCAAACCCTGTTCGGACTGTTATTCAAAAAATGTGTATGAAATCAAAGGCATGATGCACTTAGCACTGCCGGCTCAAGTGATTCACATGTGACAAAGAAGAAGGAGTTCCTAGAAGTAGGTTCTCCTCCTGAAAGTGAGTGCATGCTTTTCAACTAAACCAATCAATCTCATCGTGCACGGAAACAGTGCAAATCGTGAAGTTCCCGTGCAAATATTTTACCACAGTGCATTATCTGAAAAAAGAAAATTTTCTACCACTGAAAGCTGTGCTAGTAAGTGATGCTTATGATTTTTTGGCAATGCCGAAAATCGACAATGCCAAAAAACCCTAAGCATCACTTACCGAGTTCTTTGCCGTTTGCTTCTCGTCGCCGTCCTCGCTGCAACTTGATCCCTCCGCTTGTCTCTCATGAAATGGCGCCGGTACACAAACATGTTGATAGAAGACTGCAGGCAATCTAGTGAGTAACACACAACCCAATACATAGACACAAAAAAACCCTAGCACGCAAACTTCTGCCATCCTGCAATCCAATGAGTTCACTCATCCCAATCAAAACCACAACTCAAACTCGCCTGAAAAGAATAAAAAAAAGTCAAATAATATCTTGGTTCGGTCGTCCGCCAGATACCCGAACCAGGCCGTACCGTTCCGACAAACTGACAACCCAACTATGTCGACGGTCAACCTTCAACAGGGCCCGCAGATCCAGCGGTGAACAAGTTAACGTCTACTTAGAAGTAGAAATAGGATAACTTGGGAAAAAACGTTCAAACCCTGTTCGGACTGTTATTCAAAAAATGTGTATGAAATCAAAGGCATGATGCACTTAGCACTGCCGGCTCAAGTGATTCACATGTGACAAAGAAGGAGTTCCTAGAAGTAGGTTCTCCTCCTGAAAGTGAGTGCATGCTTTTCAACTAAACCAATCAATCTCATCGTGCACGGAAACAGTGCAAATCGTGAAGTTCCCGTGCAAATATTTTACCACAGTGCATTATCTGAAAAAAGAAAATTTTCTACCACTGAAAGCTGTGCTAGTAAGTGATGCTTATGATTTTTTGGCAATGCCGAAAATCGACAATGCCAAAAAACCCTAAGCATCACTTACCGAGTTCTTTGCCGTTTGCTTCTCGTCGCCGTCCTCGCTGCAACTTGATCCCTCCGCTTGTCTCTCATGAAATGGCGCCGGTACACAAACATGTTGATAGAAGACTGCAGGCAATCTAGTGAGTAACACACAACCCAATACATAGACACAAAAAAACCCTAGCACGCAAACTTCTGCCATCCTGCAATCCAATGAGTTCACTCATCCCAATCAAAACCACAACTCCAACTCGCCTGAAAAGAATAAAAAAAAGTCAAATAATATCTTGGTTCGGTCGTCCGCCAGATACCCGAACCAGGCCGTACCGTTCCGACAAACTGACAACCCAACTATGTCGACGGTCAACCTTCAACAGGGCCCGCAGATCCAGCGGTGAACAAGTTAACGTCTACTTAGAAGTAGAAATAGGATAACTTGGGAAAAAACGTTCAAACCCTGTTCGGACTGTTATTCAAAAAATGTGTATGAAATCAAAGGCATGATGCACTTAGCACTGCCGGCTCAAGTGATTCACATGTGACAAAGAAGAAGGAGTTCCTAGAAGTAGGTTCTCCTCCTGAAAGTGAGTGCATGCTTTTCAACTAAACCAATCAATCTCATCGTGCACGGAAACAGTGCAAATCGTGAAGTTCCCGTGCAAATATTTTACCACAGTGCATTATCTGAAAAAAGAAAATTTTCTACCACTGAAAGCTGTGCTAGTAAGTGATGCTTATGATTTTTTGGCAATGCCGAAAATCGACAATGCCAAAAAACCCTAAGCATCACTTACCGAGTTCTTTGCCGTTTGCTTCTCGTCGCCGTCCTCGCTGCAACTTGATCCCTCCGCTTGTCTCTCATGAAATGGCGCCGGTACACAAACATGTTGATAGAAGACTGCAGGCAATCTAGTGAGTAACACACAACCCAATACATAGACACAAAAAAACCCTAGCACGCAAACTTCTGCCATCCTGCAATCCAATGAGTTCACTCATCCCAATCAAAACCACAACTCCAACTCGCCGCCGCATCATAGGAAACGGCTGAAAAGAATAAAAAAAAGTCAAATAATATCTTGGTTCGGTCGTCCGCCAGATACCCGAACCAGGCCGTACCGTTCCGACAAACTGACAACCCAACTATGTCGACGGTCAACCTTCAACAGGGCCCGCAGATCCAGCGGTGAACAAGTTAACGTCTACTTAGAAGTAGAAATAGGATAACTTGGGAAAAAACGTTCAAACCCTGTTCGGACTGTTATTCAAAAAATGTGTATGAAATCAAAGGCATGATGCACTTAGCACTGCCGGCTCAAGTGATTCACATGTGACAAAGAAGAAGGAGTTCCTAGAAGTAGGTTCTCCTCCTGAAAGTGAGTGCATGCTTTTCAACTAAACCAATCAATCTCATCGTGCACGGAAACAGTGCAAATCGTGAAGTTCCCGTGCAAATATTTTACCACAGTGCATTATCTGAAAAAAGAAAATTTTCTACCACTGAAAGCTGTGCTAGTAAGTGATGCTTATGATTTTTTGGCAATGCCGAAAATCGACAATGCCAAAAAACCCTAAGCATCACTTACCGAGTTCTTTGCCGTTTGCTTCTCGTCGCCGTCCTCGCTGCAACTTGATCCCTCCGCTTGTCTCTCATGAAATGGCGCCGGTACACAAACATGTTGATAGAAGACTGCAGGCAATCTAGTGAGTAACACACAACCCAATACATAGACACAAAAAAACCCTAGCACGCAAACTTCTGCCATCCTGCAATCCAATGAGTTCACTCATCCCAATCAAAACCACAACTCCAACTCGCCTGAAAAGAATAAAAAAAGTCAAATAATATCTTGGTTCGGTCGTCCGCCAGATACCCGAACCAGGCCGTACCGTTCCGACAAACTGACAACCCAACTATGTCGACGGTCAACCTTCAACAGGGCCCGCAGATCCAGCGGTGAACAAGTTAACGTCTACTTAGAAGTAGAAATAGGATAACTTGGGAAAAAACGTTCAAACCCTGTTCGGACTGTTATTCAAAAAATGTGTATGAAATCAAAGGCATGATGCACTTAGCACTGCCGGCTCAAGTGATTCACATGTGACAAAGAAGAAGGAGTTCCTAGAAGTAGGTTCTCCTCCTGAAAGTGAGTGCATGCTTTTCAACTAAACCAATCAATCTCATCGTGCACGGAAACAGTGCAAATCGTGAAGTTCCCGTGCAAATATTTTACCACAGTGCATTATCTGAAAAAAGAAAATTTTCTACCACTGAAAGCTGTGCTAGTAAGTGATGCTTATGATTTTTTGGCAATGCCGAAAATCGACAATGCCAAAAAACCCTAAGCATCACTTACCGAGTTCTTTGCCGTTTGCTTCTCGTCGCCGTCCTCGCTGCAACTTGATCCCTCCGCTTGTCTCTCATGAAATGGCGCCGGTACACAAACATGTTGATAGAAGACTGCAGGCAATCTAGTGAGTAACACACAACCCAATACATAGACACAAAAAAACCCTAGCACGCAAACTTCTGCCATCCTGCAATCCAATGAGTTCACTCATCCCAATCAAAACCACAACTCCAACTCGCCGCCGCATCATAGGAAACGGCTGAAAAGAATAAAAAAAAGTCAAATAATATCTTGGTTCGGTCGTCCGCCAGATACCCGAACCAGGCCGTACCGTTCCGACAAACTGACAACCCAACTATGTCGACGGTCAACCTTCAACAGGGCCCGCAGATCCAGCGGTGAACAAGTTAACGTCTACTTAGAAGTAGAAATAGGATAACTTGGGAAAAAACGTTCAAACCCTGTTCGGACTGTTATTCAAAAAATGTGTATGAAATCAAAGGCATGATGCACTTAGCACTGCCGGCTCAAGTGATTCACATGTGACAAAGAAGAAGGAGTTCCTAGAAGTAGGTTCTCCTCCTGAAAGTGAGTGCATGCTTTTCAACTAAACCAATCAATCTCATCGTGCACGGAAACAGTGCAAATCGTGAAGTTCCCGTGCAAATATTTTACCACAGTGCATTATCTGAAAAAAGAAAATTTTCTACCACTGAAAGCTGTGCTAGTAAGTGATGCTTATGATTTTTTGGCAATGCCGAAAATCGACAATGCCAAAAAACCCTAAGCATCACTTACCGAGTTCTTTGCCGTTTGCTTCTCGTCGCCGTCCTCGCTGCAACTTGATCCCTCCGCTTGTCTCTCATGAAATGGCGCCGGTACACAAACATGTTGATAGAAGACTGCAGGCAATCTAGTGAGTAACACACAACCCAATACATAGACACAAAAAAACCCTAGCACGCAAACTTCTGCCATCCTGCAATCCAATGAGTTCACTCATCCCAATCAAAACCACAACTCCAACTCGCCGCCGCATCATAGGAAACGGCTGAAAAGAATAAAAAAAAGTCAAATAATATCTTGGTTCGGTCGTCCGCCAGATACCCGAACCAGGCCGTACCGTTCCGACAAACTGACAACCCAACTATGTCGACGGTCAACCTTCAACAGGGCCCGCAGATCCAGCGGTGAACAAGTTAACGTCTACTTAGAAGTAGAAATAGGATAACTTGGGAAAAAACGTTCAAACCCTGTTCGGACTGTTATTCAAAAAATGTGTATGAAATCAAAGGCATGATGCACTTAGCACTGCCGGCTCAAGTGATTCACATGTGACAAAGAAGAAGGAGTTCCTAGAAGTAGGTTCTCCTCCTGAAAGTGAGTGCATGCTTTTCAACTAAACCAATCAATCTCATCGTGCACGGAAACAGTGCAAATCGTGAAGTTCCCGTGCAAATATTTTACCACAGTGCATTATCTGAAAAAAGAAAATTTTCTACCACTGAAAGCTGTGCTAGTAAGTGATGCTTATGATTTTTTGGCAATGCCGAAAATCGACAATGCCAAAAAACCCTAAGCATCACTTACCGAGTTCTTTGCCGTTTGCTTCTCGTCGCCGTCCTCGCTGCAACTTGATCCCTCCGCTTGTCTCTCATGAAATGGCGCCGGTACACAAACATGTTGATAGAAGACTGCAGGCAATCTAGTGAGTAACACACAACCCAATACATAGACACAAAAAAACCCTAGCACGCAAACTTCTGCCATCCTGCAATCCAATGAGTTCACTCATCCCAATCAAAACCACAACTCCAACTCGCCGCCGCATCATAGGAAACGGCTGAAAAGAATAAAAAAAAGTCAAATAATATCTTGGTTCGGTCGTCCGCCAGATACCCGAACCAGGCCGTACCGTTCCGACAAACTGACAACCCAACTATGTCGACGGTCAACCTTCAACAGGGCCCGCAGATCCAGCGGTGAACAAGTTAACGTCTACTTAGAAGTAGAAATAGGATAACTTGGGAAAAAACGTTCAAACCCTGTTCGGACTGTTATTCAAAAAATGTGTATGAAATCAAAGGCATGATGCACTTAGCACTGCCGGCTCAAGTGATTCACATGTGACAAAGAAGAAGGAGTTCCTAGAAGTAGGTTCTCCTCCTGAAAGTGAGTGCATGCTTTTCAACTAAACCAATCAATCTCATCGTGCACGGAAACAGTGCAAATCGTGAAGTTCCCGTGCAAATATTTTACCACAGTGCATTATCTGAAAAAAGAAAATTTTCTACCACTGAAAGCTGTGCTAGTAAGTGATGCTTATGATTTTTTGGCAATGCCGAAAATCGACAATGCCAAAAAACCCTAAGCATCACTTACCGAGTTCTTTGCCGTTTGCTTCTCGTCGCCGTCCTCGCTGCAACTTGATCCCTCCGCTTGTCTCTCATGAAATGGCGCCGGTACACAAACATGTTGATAGAAGACTGCAGGCAATCTAGTGAGTAACACACAACCCAATACATAGACACAAAAAAACCCTAGCACGCAAACTTCTGCCATCCTGCAATCCAATGAGTTCACTCATCCCAATCAAAACCACAACTCCAACTCGCCGCCGCATCATAGGAAACGGCTGAAAAGAATAAAAAAAAGTCAAATAATATCTTGGTTCGGTCGTCCGCCAGATACCCGAACCAGGCCGTACCGTTCCGACAAACTGACAACCCAACTATGTCGACGGTCAACCTTCAACAGGGCCCGCAGATCCAGCGGTGAACAAGTTAACGTCTACTTAGAAGTAGAAATAGGATAACTTGGGAAAAAACGTTCAAACCCTGTTCGGACTGTTATTCAAAAAATGTGTATGAAATCAAAGGCATGATGCACTTAGCACTGCCGGCTCAAGTGATTCACATGTGACAAAGAAGAAGGAGTTCCTAGAAGTAGGTTCTCCTCCTGAAAGTGAGTGCATGCTTTTCAACTAAACCAATCAATCTCATCGTGCACGGAAACAGTGCAAATCGTGAAGTTCCCGTGCAAATATTTTACCACAGTGCATTATCTGAAAAAAGAAAATTTTCTACCACTGAAAGCTGTGCTAGTAAGTGATGCTTATGATTTTTTGGCAATGCCGAAAATCGACAATGCCAAAAAACCCTAAGCATCACTTACCGAGTTCTTTGCCGTTTGCTTCTCGTCGCCGTCCTCGCTGCAACTTGATCCCTCCGCTTGTCTCTCATGAAATGGCGCCGGTACACAAACATGTTGATAGAAGACTGCAGGCAATCTAGTGAGTAACACACAACCCAATACATAGACACAAAAAAACCCTAGCACGCAAACTTCTGCCATCCTGCAATCCAATGAGTTCACTCATCCCAATCAAAACCACAACTCAAACTCGCCTGAAAAGAATAAAAAAAAGTCAAATAATATCTTGGTTCGGTCGTCCGCCAGATACCCGAACCAGGCCGTACCGTTCCGACAAACTGACAACCCAACTATGTCGACGGTCAACCTTCAACAGGGCCCGCAGATCCAGCGGTGAACAAGTTAACGTCTACTTAGAAGTAGAAATAGGATAACTTGGGAAAAAACGTTCAAACCCTGTTCGGACTGTTATTCAAAAAATGTGTATGAAATCAAAGGCATGATGCACTTAGCACTGCCGGCTCAAGTGATTCACATGTGACAAAGAAGAAGGAGTTCCTAGAAGTAGGTTCTCCTCCTGAAAGTGAGTGCATGCTTTTCAACTAAACCAATCAATCTCATCGTGCACGGAAACAGTGCAAATCGTGAAGTTCCCGTGCAAATATTTTACCACAGTGCATTATCTGAAAAAAGAAAATTTTCTACCACTGAAAGCTGTGCTAGTAAGTGATGCTTATGATTTTTTGGCAATGCCGAAAATCGACAATGCCAAAAAACCCTAAGCATCACTTACCGAGTTCTTTGCCGTTTGCTTCTCGTCGCCGTCCTCGCTGCAACTTGATCCCTCCGCTTGTCTCTCATGAAATGGCGCCGGTACACAAACATGTTGATAGAAGACTGCAGGCAATCTAGTGAGTAACACACAACCCAATACACACACACACAACCAAATACACAGATACAAAACACTAGAATCCAAACTTCTGCGAAAAAGACTGGGTGTATAATCCCAAGTTTCAGCATGGCAGCATGGAAGTAAGCACAACATATCTGCAGCCAAGAAAAAAAGGGAAGAAGATTGGCAGACATGAAGGGTGGGGACAATGGTGAAACTCAAAAACTGGCTGAAGAAGTCAGGCAAAAAGAGGAAACATCAAATGCCATATTCGCAAGAGCAAATGTTTTGTTTCGCGAGAAATCATTTCTCGCCTCACTCGCTCCGCTCGGCGGGCGAGAAATACTAGCTTTTTCTCGCCTTCCTCGCAGCAATCCGAAGGCGAAGAACAATGACTTCACGTGTAGTTATTGTTGTGGTCCACCGTTGAATGATCGTTCTCCGCCAAATCCGTAAACAGCAGCCAGCTAAGCTGGCTGGCTTCACGCTCAGTTTGGAAACAGTTTGCTCGCACATCAAGCGAAAAACTGAAAACAAAAAAAGGAGTTTGAGTGCCACCTTTCACCTCCGCCGAAGTAAGCCTTCAACGCTTCCGTTGCTGTTCTTGCAAAGGCCTCGCAAACGTTGAAACGACATGCTGCTCTAGCAGTAGGCGAGTTGTAGCACGAGCAGCTGAACGGTGATCGTGTCCATCGGTTCTCGAAAGAACAGAACGAAACGCAAGGAAAACAAACAATGCTAGACTGAATTTTTTTATGATAACGGTGAAACTAACAGACAACGCTAGCGCGTTACGCTGCGATGTCACCAAAGCCAAAGCCGCAAAGGCAAAGTGTTTCACACAAGCAGCTAAAGATACACTTACCAGTGATCTGGCTCCTTACCTGACCGCTTCTAAAAATAAACCAGTTGAGTTCACGCTGGCCACTCCGCCATGTTGAACACTTTTAAAAAGTTAGTTTTTTATTTTTCAATCAGCAAACTACTACCGTATTACTACTACATAGTAGAGAAAAGGGAAACCAAGGGCAAGGAGGAGCCCAGGTAGAAAAGACTTATTACGCCAGTAGTGGTGAAGAACCATCCGAGTAGTAGTAGTCGTCGCCTCTTCTCTCTACCCGTGACTATGAACTGGTAAGCACAGTGAGGGCCTGTTAAGGTGGCAGTCTGGGTTCGCGGCCCGACCGCATGAACACAGCCGTAACTTCCATAATAATTGATGAATTTTGCTCAAATCTTGACCACATACCCAGTGTATTTCACTAAGTCCAATGAAGTATAAATCAAGCTCACACATGGGAATCCGCAGGCACAATAGTCAAATCTGCGATTATGCCGTACCACCAATACCTTAGACGCAATATGCAAACGCAGAAAGAAGCTGGGTAGAAACTGAGTGCTCCACAGGATTTCCTTCACATATACCTAGGTGCTAAGTGGAGCGGAATTTTGAAATCATATTCAGAACAAAGTACTCAAGCTGTCAAACAAAAATCATGCAATCGCGCAAAATTTAGGTCCTCGATCAGTAGCACTTTACTCAAAGCTACTAGACAAATATAAAAATCCATGACACTTAGCACCTTGATAAATGCTCACAGTTTCCAAAAATGTATGGTTTATGGGGTCTGTGACTTACAGGTTCTGTGCTACGCTGTCTAAGAGGTACGGGACTCAGTGGAAAATGGAGAAAAAAAGTGCTCTGTGCAAGTACAGATGGAGGTATGTCTGTCCAACTAGAACTTACTAGAACTTAGTCGAAGCCACCAGCTTCATATGTCAAACCTTCTTCCTCTTGCTGCTCATCCTGGATGCCCTTCCTGATCCTCCTTCGCTTCTTTCGTGACCTCTTCCCTTCTTCTGACTTCTTTCTGGCAGCATGTGCCTGTCTCTCACGGTCTAGCAGCTTGATGAGACGTGTCGTATGGTATCCAGTAGGGAGGCCCATCTCGTCCAGAACGCGTTTCACTGCCACACCTCCATCATTGAACCAGGCCACGGCCAGGTAGACGCACATCTGGACAGTGGGAGCGGATGCAAAGCCTGTCTTTGGACACAACTGCCACACGAGTCCATTGAACGCTTCGTTGCGATTCTGCGTAGCACCCTTCTGGCAGCGCTCGAGCAAACTCCGGTCGGACAACCGAATGTAGACCGGCTTCAGTTCCTTCCATACTGCCTCTGGCAGGATATTGTGGTGGGCGTAGACATCACCACCTGCCTGTTGCTGCTGCCATCTACACCAGCTGTTAATTCCAGGCGGACAATACTGGTGCTGAGGTTTACTGTCGCTGGATGCACGATGCATGAGGGATGCCCATATGGCCCTGGCCATGGCTTGCAAGTCTCCGCTGTTGTTCCGCACAGCCATGCCATAGTAGGCTTGCAGCTTGTTGATCATGGCATCCGTGAGGCGACCACGTCCGCCTATAGTGCGCCCATCAGCAAGCTTCTTGCCCGCAAGGTTTTTCTTCAGCTTTCTTAGGCTGGTACCGATGCGTTTTTGAACGTGGCCGACACATTCCTCCTTGACTACAGGCACCTCGGGCCCATACGGACAAGCGTCACGCACAGCCTTAAAACTCTTGGTATCTCCATCACCAATGTAGGTGGTGTACCTCAGCTTGCGGCTCTCAAAGGACCTGGCCCACAGAGTCTTGGCGGCTGCACTCTCCATGGCAGGAGCTGATACAGTGGTGTTGACTGAGGAATCGTGTTCGGCAATCTGTCGATCATAGTCATCTTTGGTTAGCTCTCCCTTCTCTTTTCTAGACGCCAAGTGCGTGCACTTGTGGCAAAACTTTGAAAGCACTTCGCAGTCCACCACTTTGCCGACATCATATGCAATTATAGTGAAGGCTCCGAAGAGCGATGCGAATCCTCGGCGCATCCAGGTACCGTCATAGGAAGCAGCGATATCGCTACCCCCATCTGCTGCGGACACTGCTTTCTCAGCTGCCTCAGTCATGCTACGCTCAGCGACGCTCTTGGACGCGGAATGCAGGCCTTTAGCATGGCTGTAAAATGTCGACCGACTCATAGGTGATGGCATATTCAGTGCACCCGCCAGCTTTACCATTGATTGACGTCCACGGCCAATCAGTCGCATTCCGAATACTGCTCGTCTGTGCACCTCCCAGACCCGATTGAACTTCTTGGACATAAATTCGCTTGCTATGTCGCCGCAGTTAACACAGGAAAGCTCCAGGCATGATGCAAGGCCTCCCCGTTGCGATTCGCTGATCGTGACTGCGCCATTACAGCCACTGCAACAAACTGCAGCTGACAAAAGCTGCTGAAGGCACTCGAGATCAATCAGGCGAAATCCATGCGCCCCTTCCTCACACTCTTCATCCAAGTCACTGTCGGAGGAACTGCTGTCGACTTCACCGCCACTTCCATCACTATCGCTGCTTGAAGACGTGGCTTCAGCTGACACTTCAAGGTCGTCATCAGACAGTGGCAAGTCAGGAATTTGTTCTGCAGGCGAAATTTTACCAGAGGGAGCCTTCGGCGCCTGAGACACTCCATAGAACGTTCTTTTCCTTTTCTTAGATCGTCCGGGCTTTCCCTTGGCTCTAGACTTCCCCATAGTAGCCAACGAAGGGGTTAGCTCCAAGAAACAATTACTCCAAAACAATTACTCCAAAAGTAACTAGTTTCAACAGCAGAGCGATCAGCTGAGATCATGAGAGTCGAAATTTGAATTTTTTTTGAATTTGCGCATGCGCAAAAGTTATCTTGGTTGCCATGGTGACAAACATCGTGCGCGGCTGTCAGTCTGCAGCGCAGAGGAGTACCAGGAGTCGCTCCTGAAAATTTTAATGAAATCGCTCAAAGATTGACGGTAAAAATCGGAATAGTGTGCAAACCTAAATTTTGTAGAAATTTGCTGATATTTCAGTATTTCAAAAACAATTGTGCAGACTTTGCGCGGCTATATCTCCGGAAGGAAGCACCCGATTACGCTCAAATTTTCAGGATAAACCCTTTGGACCATACACAAGACGCTGCCAGTGAAAAAATACAGAAAATCGAAACTTTGTTTTTTGACCCTCTGAACCCAGACTGCCACCTTAAGCGAGCGCTTGACAGTTATTATACTGTTTAGTATACAGCGTTTGAAATCCGGTTCTCGTGAAGTGACGACCTTGGAGAACACGGCCCTAACACTGGGTGCCATGGCAATCAAACTAAGCCACGCGGCCAGTAACGTTACCATGTTAGAGGATCTGTTAGAATAGTGCAATAGTCATCTGGTCATCTGGTCATGCATCTAATCTACATGACTTTGTATACGTTGCCCACACCAGTCTAGAAGAACAAATCGATGATTTAAGAACCGAACGTTTTCGTTCCCTTCTCATCATGGGCTCGTCATACAGGGAATAAAGCCAAATGACTGAAGAAAACAAAAAAATCAGTTCTGTCCGCTGATTGAGTAAAACAGCAGGTGTTATAATAAAAATTAATGGTAGCGATAGTTGTAGCGATAGTGCCATTAGTGGTAGCGATTATTGTTAGGAAAGGATTTGCTCCCCACACTGGACGAGCTCCCGCTATTCCGCCGACTCACTACTGTTCTCACTGTCCAAGAACGAGAAAGACGATGAAATCCGAGGGAATGCCAAAGGCACTGAGAAGGAAGAGTTTCATGTTTGAGGCGGAATCCTGAAAAATGAGTTCGTTCAAGGAAACTTCTACGGACATCGAAAAAACGGTCCACACTGCACTGTATTGTACTAGTGAGACTCAAAACTGACCGAAGAAGTCAAGAAAAGAAACGACGATAAAGAACTCAAACCAGATGCCATATTTGCCGCTGAACCGAAAATGTTGCGCGAGAAATCATTAATTTTCTCGCCTACAAGTATCTACCGAGTCCGTCCGTATCTCGCTGCGGCGCTTGGCCGGCGAGAAATACACCGACTCATATCATGCTGCTATATCTGGTGTTCACGAGGTGTTTATCGCGCTGGAAACGGAGCGTCTCACATGTAAGTTTGTATCCCTGGTGATGTTTGGGCCTGGATAGCACTATTAGTATTACCATCAGTGACGCTCTTTAGCCTTTCAGGCACGATCTTCCTCAGCCTACTCAAGCTCAACTGATGAGGGGTAAATTCCCCGTCACACTTTGTATTGAGCAGGGAGCGGTGCTTTCTTGCAGGTTTGCCGAGTCGAGGGTTCGATGGACTCTGGATGGCAGTCGTGAGTCAGTCAAGTGTCAAGTCAAGTCGGCGGAATAGCGCGAGCTCCAGTGTGGGGAGCAAACCCTTTCCCATTATTATAAGCAAAAGAATTGAAGGACACAAAACAACACGCTACAAGTGAGTGTGAAAGGTAAGGGTTTCCAGATTATTCGCAAGAAATTGTGTATTATATAGATACAGTGAAATCTGTCTAGGGCGACCACTCAAGGGACGAGAAAAAGTGGTCACCTTGGCCAGGTGGTCTTCTTATCCAGGTTCAGTGGGTCACGTGACTATGTCCACACATGATGTGACATAATTATCCCTCAGACCTGTCAAGTGTCGTGCATGCACTATGATGTGCGTCTACACTTTCTGTGCTGATGACGCAGTGA